AGAACTGGGCCCACCTGGACCAACTGTCAGCCTGTGGGACTCATTGGTGCTATGCTCTATTACCATTCTGAACCCCCCCCTGACTCTGGAGAGGGCTATTTTCCACCTGAATGGGAGACTGGGGGTACATGGCTGCATCCCGTCGGCTGAGGGGGCCAGACATTGCCTGACCACCGTGAGAGGGTGGCCAGGTGTCAGAGCCCCTGGGGGCTAAACCGGGATGCTTTTTACATATATGCACTTTACCAGCTTTCTACATATATGCATTTTACCAGCGAGGGGACTTTACCAGCGAGGGGACTTTACCATCGGTCTTTACCACTGGACAAAACGCTGTGAGAGGGCGATTTTTGGACCTGACCCCTGGACGCTGTCTACATGCATCGGCTCATTGCTGCCACCCCACCACAAGAGGGGGCTGTCCAGCTGACCTAACCACCGTGAGAGGGTGGTTGGATCTATTTCCCCCTTGGAACTGTGGTCGTCCTGGCTTTGGACTATGTCCTCTGTTGTGAGGGGACAGGGGACTTGGTCCTGCAAATATGTCTCTGAGATTTCTCCCATCTTTTTGCCTTCTCCTCGGTCCTGTATATACACCCTCAGGATATGGTCGTGTCACCCATTATGATTAATGTACTCAGCAGCGGAGCTTCTTGGTCTGCGAGACTCCCCCCTCTCGCAGGCTTGGCCCTCCATTCTATCGAGGGCCTACCTCGATGACGGGCTTTGGAGTCCCGAGAGGTGGCATGCTGCAAAGAGGGGGCTGCGGGGTTTTTTAAAATTGTCCTTGTTTAAACTTTTAAGGGGTTCTGGGAGGGGGGAGGGGGGTGGGATTGGAATTAGGGTTGTGGGTTTGGGGGATAACCCACTAGGGGGAGAATCGGGCTTGGCCAGGACGTTCGGCGGGGGTGGTGGGGGATCCGGAGGGGGTCGAGCTGGTCCAGACTGCGTTTCTACCATCGGTACTGTGTGTGGGAGAGGTAGATATGGCGGGAGCAGGGGGCCATATCATGTTAAGGGAGCACGCACCCGCTGTCTTCAAGCGGTAGAGTGCTCCGGCCCCCAAGGCTCCACCCGTTCTCCAGGTAGCTCAGACCTCCAGGGCCCGGGCCTTCGCTTGATGTTGTGCAACGCCAGGTCTGTAGTAAATAAAGCCCCCCTCATTTGTGATCTTGTTTACGAGGGGGGAGCGGACCTGGCGGGTATTACGGAGACCTGGTTGGGCCCAGAGGGAGGGGTCCCTCTGGTAGAAATGTGCCCACCAGGTTTCCACGCATTCCATCAGCCAAGGTCGCAGGGGAGGGGCGGGGGAGTAGCGGTTATTATTAGAGAAGGCCTTAGGCCGAGGGAGACCACTGTACCTCAGACAGCCGGTTGTGAGTCCCTCCTTGTGAAGTGGGGCCATGGGGTTCAGATGGGCTTGCTGATCACGTACCTGGCTCCCTGCCACGTGGCGGCAGCCCTGCCCGAGCTACTCAACGTTATTGCCGCGGTGGCGGTTGATACTCCCAGACTTATGGTCATGGGGGATTTCAACCTGCCATCCGTGGGTGAGGCGTCTGAGGTGGCTCGGGAGTTCATGGCTTCCATGACGGCCATGGACCTGACCCAACTAATTCATGGCCCTACGCACACTGGGGGAAACACACTGGACCTGGTTTTTGTCTCTGGACAGTGGTTGAGTGATCTCGAGATAGGGGATTTAGTCATCGAGCCCTTGTCATGGTCAGATCACTCGCTCCTTCGCCTTGACCTTCGAACCGCAGCACCCCGCCGCAGGGAGGCGGAACCGGTAAGATGGTACCGCCCCAGGTGCCTGATGGAACCTGATAGGTTCCAGATGGAACTTGGGCCAATCCCGGAGGTTCTGGCTCACGCCTCATCTGGGGACCTAGTTGCCGCCTGGGATAGGGCGGCGGCTGGAGCCCTGGATCGAGTCGTGCCTTTGCGGCCTCTGACCAGGCGCCGATCTCGCCTGGCTCCTTGGTTCACCGAGGAGCTGAGGGAGATGAAGCGCCGGAAAAGACGCCTAGAGAGCTGTTGGAGGGCTAGTCTTTCTGAATCTGACCGAACACTGGTAAGATCTCATATTAGGAATTACCTAGTGGCGATAAAAGCAGCAAAGTGTTCTCATTTTGCTGCTCTTATTGCGTCATCAGATAATCGCCCGGCCGCCCTGTTTAGGGTGACCCGCTCCCTGCTCCACCAGGAAGCGCGGGAGGACCCCTTGGAGGGAAGAGCCGAGGATTTTGTTCAGTATCTGTATGACAAAATCACTCAGATTCGGGCAGGTCTGGACTCTGACGCGATAGATCCAGAGAGGGTGATGGAGACAGGTTTTGAGACTGTTATCTGGGATGAGTTTGATCCTGTGACCCCAGATGACGTGGACAGGATTCTGGGTAGATTGAACGCGACCACATGTTTGTTGGACCCGTGTCCCTCCTGGTTAGTGCTGGCTTCCCGGGAGGTGACGCGAGGCTGGCTCCAGGGGATTATAAATGCTTCGTTGGGTGAGGGTGTCTTCCCCGCCGCCCTGAAAGAGGCGGTGGTAAGGCCTCTCCTCAAGAAGCCTTCCCTGGACCCGGCAGTATTGGCTAACTATCGTCCAGTCTCCAACCTTTGCTTCGTTGCGAAGGTTGTTGAGAATGTGGTTGCGCGACAGCTACCCCAGTACCTGGATGAAGCGTCGTATCTAGATCCGTTCCAGTCGGGCTTCAGACCTGGGTACAGCACGGAAACGGCATTGGTCGCGTTGGTTGATGATCTCTGGAGGGCTCGGGACAGGGGTTGTTCCTCTGTCCTGGTCCTGTTAGACCTCTCAGCGGCTTTTGATACCATCGACCATGGTATCATGCTGCACCGGCTGGAAGGGTTGGGGGTGGGAGGCACCGTTTTACGGTGGTTCTCCTCCTTTCTCTCTGACCGGTCGCAGTCTGTGTTGACAGGGGGGCAGAGATCGACCCCGAGGCCCCTTATATGTGGGGTGCCGCAGGGATCGGTTCTCTCGCCCCTCCTGTTCAACATTTATGTAAAGCCGCTGGGCGAGATCATCCGTGGTTTCGGGGTGAAGTACCATCTGTACGCTGACGACACTCAGCTGTACATCTCCACCCCGGATCACCCCAACGATGCCCTTGAAGTGATGTCCCAGTGCCTGGAGGCCGTACGGATCTGGATGGGGAGAAACGGGCTCAGGCTCAACCCATCCAAGACCGAGTGGCTGTGGTTTCCGACGTCCCGATATAGTCAGCTGGTGCCATCGCTGGCTATTGGGGGCGAATCATTGGCCCCCACGGAAAGGGCTCGTAACTTGGGCGTCCTCCTGGATTCACGGCTGTCTTTAGAAGAGCACTTGACGGCCGTGACCGGGAGGATTTTTCATCAGGTTCGCCTGATTCGCCAGTTACGTCCCTTTCTAGATCGGGACTCGTTACGCACAGTCACTCATGCCCTCGTCACCTCTCGTCTGGACTATTGTAATGCTCTCTACATGGGGCTCCCCTTGAGGTGCACCCGGAGGCTCCAACTGGCGCAGAGTGCCGCCGCGCGGGTGGTTATGGGAGCAACATGGAGCTCCCATGTAACACCTCTCCTGCGCGAGCTGCACTGGCTCCCGGTGGTCTTCCGGGTGCGCTTCAAGGTTCTGGTTACCACCTTTAAAGCACTCCATGGCTTAGGACCTGGTTATCTACGGGACCGCCTACTACCACCAACAGCCTCCCACCGACCAGTACGCTCCCACAGAGAAGGGCTCCTCCAGGTGCCGTCGGCCAAACAATGTCGGCTGTCGGCCCCTAGGGGGAGAGCCTTCTCTGTGGGGGCACCGACGATCTGGAATGAGCTCCCCCCAGAGATACGGAGGATCCCGGATCTGCGCACCTTCCGCCGCGAGTTGAAGACGCTTTTATTTCATCAAGCGGGCCTCGCCTAAATTTTCTCCCTTTTAAATGAAAATTTTAAATTTTTAATTGTATTTTAAAATTATGGGTATTTTAAATTATGGATATAAATTCAGCCAAATTTATTTAATTTATTTTATTTGATTTTAAATTTTGTATATTTATGTGTTTTATTTCATGGCTGTACACCGCCCTGAGTCCTTCGGGAGTAGGGCGGTATAGAAATTCAATTAATAAATAAATAAAATAAATAAATATCACATCTTATCCAGGATACTTCTAGAACTCCTAATGTAAATTAACCATAAAAGTATGTATATTTGAGAATGTAGATAAATGGTATGAAATATTTTTTTAAAATATTAAAATGCCTTTAAGGATAGAGACCAGGAAATATACAATAGATACCTCATGTTCTGAGGAGTGAGCAAAATAAACTGCCGATAACGTTGGGAGTCTGCCATCTTAAGCATCATGTCCATTGCAATTCTCCTATTAACCATGTCCTAAAAGATATCGAAGTTGTGCCAAATGTTATTAAAAAAACATTTAAACATCCAAAACAATTCAATATATATTATTGTCTTAAAGACCAATTCCAATGCCACTTTTTTTTTTCTTTTATAACAGCTATTTTCCATCAACTTTCTTTAATTCAGGGTTAGGTAATCTGATTCTTCTGAGCACGACCGCTAAAAACTAATGGTACAAAAGTAGATTAAGTTCATTCATTCATCCATTCCATTTCTACAGTCTCGGAAAGCTTACAATTCTAAAATTATAAGACAATTTAAAAAACATTAAAACATCCACAAAAACACATAACAAATAAACCAGAAAAAAAAAATCCAAGCTACCCACCAAATTAGCCCATCCATGATCTAATATTTTACAGTACATCAATTCAGCCAATCATACCATAAATACATCAAATTCATCCAAGCATCTGAAAGGAGATTCAGCAATGGACCACAATGAGAGGATGAAGCAGCAAGTGGAAAAGGAACGTTCACCTCCAGAGAGTGATTTCATATCATCAAGAGCAGCCTTGTTTCCATTTCCAGGCTGCACCTTCGATTATATAAGAAGAAGAAGAAAATAAAACTGAAATTATATGATAAGGAAAAAAAATATTTCCAGGTGAAACAAAGCATTATTAAAAATTCAACATATACTTGCACAGGGTGGCGGGGCCCTGGACTTTGCGGTGTGGCATCTGGCCACAGCACCTGGTTTGAGAGAGCACTCCTCAGTGGTAGTGGCAGCACTGGCAATGCTGGGGCTGAAGTAGAGGCTGGAGGGGGGGGCAATAATGGCTGGATGAGGCAACAGAAAGTGTGAAGAATCTATTTCAACACCAGCACCGCTGTGCAAGGCAACCAAATGAGCAATGATGGAGAAGGCAGAAGCACTATTAACACACTACAATCAACCTTTCAAGCAGTTCAGAATGACATTTCAAAATTTACTGAGCAATCCACCTCCAACCAAGATGGGTGACCCCATAATCATGGGAGGCTGCAAACACCTGTGAAGGTGAGCTGGTTGCCAAGTGCCCAAATTGCAATTACATGATGGGAGTGTGTAGGCCATTGTAATTCCAAACACAGGTCGTAAGTAGTTCTTGGGAGGTCAGTTGTGATTTTGAATCATTAAAATCATCAAGCACTGAGTTATAAGTATATATTTTTTCCTGTCAGTATGAGATAACAACTTAACTGTCCCCTAGAGACAATGACAAATTAATACGAAACCTAACATTTCACTGACAGACTCTCACTCTGATTGCCAACATGATGTATTGATAATCATCTGTTTGGGAGCAGAAAACATTTGTTTTCTTTGATGCTGGCCGATTTTAAATTCTTCAAGAAAGTACTAAAGTTGGATCATGACTGACCATCAACCTTTGAATGATTCATCTGGAAGCTTCATCTCTTGACTACCATGTTTTCCTGAAAATAAGACCCTGTCTTATATTTTTTTGAACCCTGAAATAAGTGCTTGGCCTTATTTGAACCCTGAAATAAGTGCTTGCCATGCGTTCAAAAGCCTGATTGGGCTTATTATCAGGGGATGTCTTATTTTGGGGGAAACAGGGTAGTACATCTGGTAATACTCTTAATGGAAAACCAAATACAATCTAACCTATTTTGCAGTCGTTTATATATTCTTTTACATCCTCAAGTATTCCGCTACAAGATAAATGGTACAATAATGCCTTCTTTAAAAAAAATAATTAACTGTAATTCCTGAATTGCAAAGCTCACATGTTCTGAATGGGCAAGACTCGTGTTCTCCTCACTAGTCTAAGCAAAACACATTGCTGCTTTCTTTGGGCCAAATTTTGTTTGGTATAGATTGCTCTCAATGCCTTAATTGAGAGACTGTAGGGTAACTGTGGTTTCTTTGTGTAGTAAATGCATTTCAAAAATTGCTGGAACCCTGTTAATCATGTGGAAAACTATTCAATTCTTCTACATTTGAAAGGAAAAACTTTAGAGCGTAGAGTTGTGCAAAACATTTTGAGTGTTAACTTTTCAGTCTCAAAATATTTGTGTTTGAATACACGACTTTAACGTCCAGTATTCTGTATAATTTTGTACAATGGGTAATTCTCTCTCTTCTTAATCAAGAGTCAAAAATGAAATTTGTCTAGTGAAAGAAAGTCCAAAAAAGAACTCTTCAATGAATGATCATATGATGCTGCCTTTCCACTGCTGGATGAATGCTAAGTCTTAAGGTTGGGATGGACAGCTGCTGGTAGGCAAATGTATACCAAAGAAAAGGGGTTGATCAATCTTGTTCATAAGAACAGTAATTTGTTTGAGAATATGTAGGATTGTTGTTCAAAAACCTGAACCAAAATAGAAAGGTGCAGATAAATAGCCAGATTACTGACTTTCTTTGCACTTACTTAGACTTCCTTTTCAGTTATTTGTTTGTTTCCTTATAACTGTCTTTCCTTAAGACTACTTTTAATACAACTAAGAAAAACAAAAAAGAACTTCTAAGGAAAAGCGCAGTGCTACAAGTTTATCTTTTCAGTCAGTGTAAGTAGAACACAAAAAGGAAGGTGAACATCTATTCCCAGGACAAAAAGGAATTAAAGAATACAGTGGATGGAAATCCAGCTCAGAAATCTCACCATATGCCAATCACTGGAGCCATGCAAATAGAAAAACTTTTCACAAGTAAAAGTGCAGCACTATAAGCTTATCTTTTCAGTCAGTGTAAGTAGAGGAAAGTGAACATCTACTCCCAGGATAAAAAGGAATTAATAAATAGATGGAAATCCAGCTCAAAAAGGCCCAGCTCACCCTTTCCCTAATTATTAGAATCTTGCAAATAACTAAGAACAACCATAATGAATGTGTTGTTTTGACACAGGTAATTTCCGTGCTTTAAAATTGAAAATTACATTTATATTCAACAAGGTGTCCACACATTATTCCAATGTATCTTAAAGTAAAAATCTTTTATGAAACATGTACAACGAGATCTGCTAAACAATATATTAAAAAATAAATCATTCCACTGCTTCCAGGCCATTGAAATGAATGAAATATTCATCATCACGACGCTTCATGAATTGCATCCAAAGCATCTAATACTATAAACACAGACAATCATACCACCCTGTATTTACAATTAAACTTAAATAGCAATAAAATATTGTGCTAAGAAAAAGTGGCCAGAAAACACTTGTTGTTTTTCTGCAAATATTCAGTAGAGTTCAGCTTTTAGAATTATGAGGACATCTTGAGGTGACAAATGTCATAACAACTCCCCAATATGAAAATAATTTTAATTTATATATATAAAAAAATCACGAGCAATTTCAAGAAGGTTCATCTAAGAGATGATTGCTACGATTACATAAAATTGACTATTAAGTTTTCAAAAATTGCAGGACTATGAAAAGTTGAATCCCATTTTTTTTTCCTCATAGAATTACCTCTAAAACATTTTTCAGGCTAGAACCAGGGTACTGTATTATACTAATAAATGTGGGACAGAGCAGTTACCTGCTTCTTCCCCCGTTTGTTCAACCTGGAAATTGGCCAGAGAGGATCAAGTCCATTAATTCCATCGTTATTATGAAAGCCAATAGAAATGGTGAAAGAGAAGCTAAGCATTATGCCCATCTTTCACCAATTTATTTATTCTTTGGCAATTAATTCCATGTATTCATTAATGTGGCATTCCTGATTGCCAATAACTATCAATAAACTGTCAATACATATAAGTGGCCTAAACATAAAATTTGACAATTAAAAAAATCAACCCAACAAACACCAAACTGATTCGGCCATGTTCAAAATTAGATGTAACATTCTCACTTCCTCATAGTGAAATTTCCTCATAAAGCCTTTACTGTTCCATATTGTTCAAGAAAAGTTATATTTAACAACAATATCACACTTACCATATTTTTCGGAGTATAAGACAGACTTCTCCCCTCCCCCCCCAAAAAAGGCTGAAAATTTGGGTGTGTCTTATACTCCGAATGTAGCTTTTTCAAAGCTTTTTTTCAGCCCTAACGAGGCGCTAGTGAGTGAAGCAATCTTCCACGTTTTGCCTGCTCCCTCCGACTCTCAGCTGTGCTTTAGAAGCTTTTTTTTACTCCCAAGTAGGGGATAAAAAGCACACGCACGTGCTCAAAACTAGCAAACTAATGTGCTGAAGCTGACCAGACTATGGATGCTAGCCAGATGAATACCTTGTAGCAGGTTTTTTTTTTTTTTTTTTGCTATTTTTCTCCCCAAAAACTAAGCTGTGTCTTATACTCCGGTGTGTCTTATACTCCGAAAAATACGGTATATAGATAGCACTGTATTTGACATAGTATTTGTAAAATACCTTAATTTCTGTCGTAGTAACTGGCAACGGGTTTTTTTGATCTATTAAGGCCTCAAACCATTAAAAAAGGAGGTAATGTTTAAAATTAAAAATAATATTAACCTGAATGAATATTCCAAGAATTATTTTAATATGCAAATGTTTATGTACATAAAATATACAAAATATAGTATATTACTATATAGGTAGCCCTCAACTTTCAACAGTTCATATAGTGACTGTTCAAAGTTACAACAGCACTGAAAAAAGTGACTTATGATTGTTTTTCAGTTATAACCTTTGCAGCATCCTCATGATCCTGTGATCAAAATTCAGGTACTTGGCAACTGGTTCACTGATTGTTGCTGTCTCCCAAGGTCATGTGACCACCTTTTGTGACCTTCTCACAAGCAAAGTCAATGGAGAAGCCAAATTCACTTAACAACTGGGTTACTAATTTTTCAACTATGGCAAGAAAGATCGTGAAATGGGGCAAAACTCACTTAACAACAGAAATTTTGGGCTCAATTGTGGTTGTATGTTGAGAACTACCTGTACAAAGCAAGACTTTAATGTAGAAAGAATTACACATCCTGAAAGGCAATTTGTCAGATATAAAAATGCACTTACAAATACCCTTACGTATTTCATTATTGTAATCTAGTTTTCTTTCCAAAATAAAGCTGCTATGGATTAATTGGGAAGCAGAAGACAAGAATAGTGGGACAGAGAATAATTAAGTATAATGTGTATTAAAATGGGAATATGGGGGAAAAATTCAGATTTGTTATGAAAAGTTGGTTAATCATTTCTGACTGGATATTGTTTACAAGACCTCAATTAATAATAAGAGTTCCCGATCTGGAGACATAATCTAATCTATCTCTAACATTTTCATACATTTAAGACACAAAAATGAGACATGTTCGACTGAAGTTTCATGAATTATTGAGCCAGCTCTTTTGTGGGGGAAAAAATAAAGGTTTCCACAAGTCAAGCTTGACTCCTAGTGACAGTTTTCATGGCAACAGTACAGAAGTGGCTTGTTTTTGCCTTCCCTGCCAGCTCTAGCTTTTTGGATAATAAAGTACTATTAAATTGAGGCAATGACCTAGGGAGCATTTGTGCCTTTGGAAAAAGCGCTTATCATTTTCTGTTTGCTCTGAGGTATTAAAAAAAAATACTCTGTTTCTATTTCCTGCAAGGGAATGATTTTGTACAACAGAGTGCTCACATGGAAGCTCATTCGCATGCAGCTTATGTGGAGGAGTGAAACCATTATTTTCCATTTCACTTTAAGGCCAATCTTTGTTAAATGTATAAACCGGAACTGGCATAGAGTAGGTGGTAGGAAACGCTTTATTCAACGATCAACTCATTCTAAACAATGCAGGAAATAAAATAACAACAAAAACAAAAGTAAACCAAAAACCTGACTTACAGTAATTGAAAGTCTTTCATTCTTGTGGTCAAACTCTATTTTTCCAGAATACGACCGCTGATTTAACAAAGAGTTGAAGTAATATTTGCATCGCATAGTAAGAAACCTTCAAAATGAAAATGTTAAAAAAAAATGAAGATATAAAAGAAATTGAAAATGTATTAAATATATAAATAACATATGAAATGACACCAGCAGACAACTTGGGGTCTGTCTATGTGTCAGCTCCAGTGCTGCTTCTTTATCCTTCTTAGTACATTGCCTTACTTGTCCTGACAAAGGCAAGAGTGGACAGAAACTCTCATCCTAGTGACAATTAAATAACCTGTTCTGATAAACCAAGCTGAATCAGTTAAAAAACATACCTGCTGTTTGGCCTCTTGCATATGATTATAATTACTAAAAAAAAAATAGCATTTAAAACAAAATGTGAAGTTTTATAAACTTCTGTGGCACGAAGAAATAAAAAATCAGTAATAGAACTATTTTTTAAGATAAATGTACTTGTATCCCTTTTGCCTACTGACTTCAATTTCTTTTAAGATGTATGCACAGTGGTTCAATTATGCAACTATATAATTGTTGTTCTGTATCACCACATTGCTTCTTGTTGTCATGAAACATGTAAGTCACAAACATTTAAATAAGTTCAAACTGCCATTGTCTCTTATTAGATCCTTGCTTAAGTTACTGAATAGTTTTAAAAATATCACACACACATAATACCTACCTTCTAAACTGCAGATACGTTTTATGTCTCTGAACCATCATCTCATCCAATAGTTTAATGAATTTCTTCAAATTTTTGCTTTTGCTTTCTGAACTCTGGTATTTTTCTTTTGCTTCCTGAAGTTGTCTGCATATTTAAAAAAGAAAAATAAACATTAGTTTCAAACCAATATCAAAGTAGGCTGGAAAAATTCTAAGGTAGAATGATGCCTATAACCTGATGCAGCCAGCTACTCTATGTTCTAAGGAAGTTTTTCTGGGTGCCTGGAAGGCTATCCTGAACAATTTGGAATGTCATTCCAGGAAGATAAATGTTGCCCCAAACTAAAATTTGGGGACCCCCCAATGATAGTGATTTTCAACAATGCAAAAGAAATATTGCTTCATGGAACGCAAAGCAGCCCAACCTGGAAAATTAACACCAGTTGTTGATTTTCAGTATTTAATACTTGACAATACATAAAAATGATGATATAGCTCCAGATTCATAAAACCAATTCTCCTTCATTAATTAGTGATTGCATTTTCTGTAAAGATATTCCTGGAATCAAAGAACTCCATAAACATTTTCAGTGCTTTATGATTTTATTTTCTAAAAATATTTTCCAGATATATGAACGAGAATTCCTCTCAGAATATAAATTAATTTGGAAATAATATTTACTTTGAAGGCATTCACCAGTTATGTCAGTCAGAAAATAATGGAATGGAATGTAAAAAAATTAACCCCTTTTTGTAGGCTAAATTGTGACTAGTCACTAAGCCAGAAAACATTGATGTAGGGTTCAGATGTCTCCTACATATTAAATCACCCTCACATACAAAATTATCTCTCTCTCTTTCTCTTTCCCCCCCCACTCTCTCTCTCTCTCTCTCTCTCTCACACACACACACACACACACACACTTACCTTATTATTTCTTCTCTATCCCCAGTACGTTCTCTTTCTGAATTTATTTTTTGTCTCAAACGATTCATTTCTGTATCCAGACTTTTATAAGTCCTAGTTACTTCTATTCGCTCTGGATGGATCTTTGAAGCCTTTGCAATCATTTCCTAATAAATATGTTAAAATATGGCAAAAGACAATTTTCATTACGCTTTTGGATGAAAATAATGCAGTAATGTAGAAAAAAATAATAAACTGAAGTGAAACTAAGTATAAATAAAGGGAACAGGAGAAGGTTTAAAAAAAATTAAGAGCAAGTGTAGGTGCAAAGGAAGAAAATATACAGAAGTTGGATGCAATAAAATCTAAACCGCAATGGGCTGCATATTAGCCCTCTGTAAAATCAAAAAGAAAGGGGAAGGAATCCAGCAGCATAAAGATAGAACAGAAATATAGATCAGATTACTTATTATAATATTTATTAAAAGTATTGACCTGCTCCTCATAAATACAAATAAAATTTCATCATCCCTTGTGATTTCCTAGCTAATAAAGGCTGGACTGCTGGATGCTTTGTCATGTTAAACTGAAAAAGCCTATTTCAGGTTCTTTATACAACTCTAGAGTTTTAAATTGCTGCTGCTAGTTTATTATTTAAACTAGTTTAGTGTAACTTATTTAACACATTACTTAAAATATTGAACCTTTTATAAACAATTATTTAGAGTATTCAAAGTATTCTCATACAGACTCACACAAACACAATGCCACAGACATACAATTCTTTGGATTTGAAGCAAAAAGTGCTACTCATATCACTTGTCCCAAGTTATTAAATTATTTACAGACAGGTGCTCTGTTCATACCCCCGCATAATCCAAAGCATAATTTTCTTCCAGATCTGAAGCACAGCACAAGTCCTAAATTATACAATTTAGCTTCAATGCGATATCTCTGAAACATTTCAGAACTTTGTGTGCTATATCAACCTAAACATCCATATAAAGTAATACTTAAATATTTGACAATGCAAGCTAGAAGTTGATGAAAAATTTACATTTTTTCCCCTGCAAGCTTGCTTCCATCGTCAGGTAATATATATTTAATTGCCTTTGAATACTGAGTTTCTATCTGTTTATTTCTGCACCTAATAACTAGAGAAATAATTACTCTGATTTCCCCTAGGGCTTGAAAAACTAAATTAGTAATTGTTATTAGCAATGGTGTTTTATTGTTCATGGAAAATTATTTTGACTTTCTCAATGTAATTTATACTTAATTAAAATTGTTCCTCTTGAGTTATCCCACCAGAAGAGCCTGCAAAATAGCAATTCTGTTGAAGAGGGAAAAAGATGTCATATTGGGCAACCAACGACTTATCAAATGGAAGAAAGCTCCTGAAACTGCTGTAGAGAAAAACTATAAAATTGTTTCAGAAAACTGGCTTCAAAACCCTGATGAAAAATAACTTGTTAGACCAGTCCTTTCCTCTTTAACAAACAATTTTGTGGGGTGTGGGAAAGCCTATCTATAAACAAATAAATAACACCCCAATTCAAAATAGCGCAAAGCACTGAAAAGACTGCCCATGCTTTTAAGGACACAGCATAAGCAGTGCCCTACAGGATTGGATTGATTGGACAAATGTATCTTTTCTTTTGTGTACACCAAGAGTGTATGCACCAAGACAAATTCCTTGTGTGTCCAATCATACTTGGCCAACAAAAAATTCTATTCTCTTCTCTTCTCTTCTCTTCTCTTCTCTTCTCTTCTTGTCCCATCTAGTTCAGCAGCCTGTTCTTACTGTGGCCCACTAGAGGCCAATCCACTGCATAAGGAAGTCCACTACTCACACTGCCACCATAGTTAATAGCCATCTTTATGACCAGATTTAGAGAAATCCTTCCATATTTGATATTGGAAATATTTGGGAGGAAATCCTAGAAATATAGGTATTAAAAAAAACCAAGGACCATTAGGCTATGTTAATTAAAATCAACTCCACAGAAATACGTAAGATATATATTACAATATGCAATAGGGAATGTTACCTTTCTTTATGTTACATATTACAATAGAGAATATTACCATCATTCCCATCATTTAGTAGGCAACTGTACTGCAAAGAAATTTTGCAATCATGCTAAAGAAAGTAAATACCTCTAATTCTCTCTCTTTTGTAGCTACATTATGTTTAAATGCTTTTATGGATACTAAATGGAGCCTTTCTTTTTCTTCGTAATGTTTTAGATTGTTTTTACTTCTCCCCAGTTCATCCTCTGCCTGATGTAATCCATCCTATTAGGAGAAAATCAATACCAAGATAGGTTAATTAATTTATTAAATGTATATACACTGCATATACATAAACCAATTTGCTGCTGGGTACAATTCAAGGTGCTTGTGATTACTTTTAAAGGCCTTCATGGCATGGGCCCAGGCTACTTGCAGGACCATCCCAACCCAATGGGACTGACCTGCCCCACCTGTGCCAGCAGCGGAGGCATGCTGCAGGTCCGATCAGTCATGATACTCTAGTGAACAGGATGCAGAAGAGCCTTCTCTGCTGTTATTCCTGCTCTTTGGAACATCTTGTCCCCCAGAATGAGGTCAGCTCCAACTCTCCTGACCTTCCATTAGAGCTTGAAGCCAGTTGCGTTGGGGCTCTACATTGGGTGGGGGGGGGAGGCTTCACATTGGAGGTGGTTGATAGACTAATAATAGATCCCACCTCCTCCTCTGTTCAATCTACTCCCTCACTCACTATATTTTAGTTAGAGCTGAGTATTTATCTTTTATATTATCTAGTATGGCGTACAGGTTTTGAAATATTTTATCTTTTTAATATTGTAAACCACCCAGAGTTACCTTGTGGTAAGATGGATAGTCAATAAGTGTAATAAATAAAAAGAAAAATATCCCTCCCATCTCACACTACAAAGCAACTCTGGGCAGTTTACAATTAAAATCATAAATATAAAATATTAAAACATTAGATACAGAACCAAAAAAAATCAAAGGCAAGATGGGTACAATGGCAGGATCTTCCCATTAGTCTACCAGCCACTCAGCATAGAGTGCCACCATCGGTTCCCCAAGTTAATCTTTCTCCTGCTTGCCTTTTTTAAAAAAAAAATGTCTGATATGAAATGTGTTACATTAGTTTAAAGAACAATCATTTTGAGGGAGAACTGTAGATTGTCCTATCCAAAATCTGCTCACTCAAGGTTTTTACTGACTGAGGAGGTTTTCTCTCTTCCCCCTCCCCCCCCAGGAAGTTCTGTATTGCTAAAACTAGCTAACTAGTTGACTTTCTGTTTTGTATTCAGGCCAAATTGTAGAACATTGTATCTACTATTTTGAATTTTCTGGTGCACCTCAAACACAGTAACAATTAAAATCTTTTAAATGTGAATTAGATGTAAGCTATTCATTGTTTCACTCTTTTTAGATAGTCTTGTTCATTCTGCCCACCATACTGAATGGTAATAATACTACCTTGATTGTAGCTGCTTCATCTTGTACTTGATTAATTTTCTCTTTAATGGCTGCAAATTTTTGTTCGTCTTCTTGCAAAAGGCATTTCAGTTCCTCCAGTTTCTCCTTCTGCTTAAGTATTCGTTCCTTAACGGTTTCTATTTTCTGTTGGTTATCATGAATTTCTTCTTCCTGATGTAAAAAAAGTCAATTTGAATTACTAGTCATAAAATTGAGTTTTGGACTGACAACCAAAGGATAACAAGGACACTACAGATTGTATCATATTGTAAGGATTTTAACACTATTAGCTTTATTATAACACAAGCTTTTGCAGAGGTCATTTCCCCTGAAGTATTATGAGGCAAAAATCAGGTTTATCCCAATGTGTTAGAGACAACTGCTATCAATTTAATCTTTGTCTATCAAGACCTATTCTCCACTACAGTTTTGTTATTTCCCCAAAAGAATGTGGTGGTAATAATTATTTTACCCAAAGCACTGTAAACATACAACTAATTTAATATTTTTAATATTATTTCCCCAAATACTTTGGAAGAAAGATCTGTAAATATTTCATATGCAAGAAATGCGTGTCTATTTTTGTAGTGAAGCACTATATACTATTACGGAGTAGCTTTTAAGATAGAATCAAATACATAGAGATGCTCTTTGTAGAATACTACATAGTGCTACTCACTATGAATATAAAATGTTATTCACTAGTTAACACTACAGTAATCCTTGCTTAGAGATTGCCTCAGACAGCAACTACAGGTAGTCCTTGATTTATGACCACAGATGAGCCCAAATTTTCTGTTGCTAAGTGAAACATTTGTTAAGTGAATTTAGTCCCATTTTATGACCTTTCTTGCCACACTCGTTAAAGGAATCACTGCAGTTCCTAAGTCAGTAACACGGTTGTTAAGTAAATCTGGCTTCTCTATAGTTTGCTTGTCAGAAGCTCGTAAAAAGGTGATCGCATGACCCCGGGGACACGGCAATTGCCAAGCATCTAAACTTTGATCACGTGACTGAGGGAATGCTGCAATGGTCCTAAGTGTAAAAAATGGTCATAAGTCCCTTTTTACAGTGCCATTGTAACTTTGAATGGTCACTAAATGAACTGTTGTTAAGTCGAGGATTATCTGTATTTGTAGTTACAAAGCTGGCAAAAATGTAACCTTTTCAACCAATGGCCACATGTATGACTTTTGTAGAATTTCTCAGTCATGTGTTCACCATTACAATCAATTAACACATATTGTACTCTGTAATTTCATAAGCAGGGGCAGTCACATGATTTTCCACTTAGTGACCACTTCGTTTAACAACCAAGTTGCTGGTCCCCATTGCAGTCACTAAATGAGGACTACCTGTAACAGCACAATAGTTTTATTCCAAGTTCTAAAAATTCATAATTTCTGCAGACATTCACTTATTTCTTCTTCTAGTAACTGAGGAAGAGGTAATGAAAATAAAACCAATTTCTCAGAAGTAATAAAATCCTTCACTGTGGGAATTACTGTCAGTCTTAGTAGTTACACCACGGTGTACCAAATAATATAAAGATAGGAAGTGTTCAGTTCTTACTAATGTAGAGATCACCACTGATTCTTCTACATTTTCAAGGTCTGTAATTTCTAATTTTGTTTTCCTCATTGTTATCTGTAACAGAAATTAAAATAAATGTTAAAAATCGAGATACAAGCTAAGCCATGAAAAGGGTGGCTAAACATTACAAGGAGTATAAAAAAGAAAAGCACTCTTCTATAATAGGTTCATATCCCATCTTTCATTCAGAAACTCCAGGTGACACACAGAGCACCTTATTTTTCTTCAAATTCATAATCCTGTGAGGTAGATTGGGTTGAGAAGGAATGATCGGCCTAGAAAAACCCTGTGAGTTTCTGTGGCAGAAGATGGGTTATAACCTGGATCTCTCTTTCCTAATACATCTTAACCATCACACCACAGATAGCATCAACTATTAGAACTGGCTTCATCCTGATATATTGTACAACAAAGATTACTAACTAGTCAACCTGTGTCAAGTACTGGAGCAGCTTCTGTTGGGTTTTCAGACAGAGAGATTGGGAGGGGGAGGGGGGAGCTCTTGAAAAACATGACATTGTGAGAGGTACTTGTCTAGGTAACCTCAAATGAATGTTGAAGTTATTCCAGGATAGCAAATCTGGGTCACAAGACCCACCTGTATCAGCTGACCCAGGAATTCTGCTCAACCTACTGTAATAGATACCAGGAGGAGAGTTACTTTCCAATAGAGGTTGCGCACTATGTTCTTCTTACCTGCAATTCTTTTTTGTGCTGATGATGATCAGCCAGATGAAATTTGTTCTGTTTAATGTCAACTTCAGTAGAACGTATTCGTTGCTGTGTTGCCAAGAGATGAGTTTTCCGGTTTTCAATGTCTCTCTCCAAATTACTTAAAGACATAAAGAATTAATTGCAACAACTCCTTAGCTAGAAACCTATTTTTACAAGAATCTGAAGAATCTGACATAAATTGCTTAAATGAATACTGGAATGATCAGCTCAAAGTATCCCCTCTTTTTAAAACAGTTGAGCACGGATTTAAGTAACTGTGCTCTTAAATTGAGATTAATAAAATAAAAATCATTTTATGTATACTGGACACCACAGAAAATTAAGAATTAGGACTGGTTCAGCAGAAGCAGGGAGCAGTCGATTGGACTTGATAGAAGAGAAAGACTTGCAAGCAATACAAACACTTTGAAGTTCATAAAGTTTTATATCTTTATTTTTATATATGTACCGTGTTTCCGCGAAAATACGACCTACCCCAAAAATAAGCCCCAATCTGCTCTTTTATGCATGTGCCTATAAGACGTCCTTCAAAAGTAAGCCCTACTGAAAAGGGTGGGCGTGGTCAGCATAGGAGGCAATGAGCGCATGTGGGCCGACGGTGTCCGGCAGCAGCTGCAGCCAGCACAGCACAGGGGAGTTGAGTACCTGTGCAAGCAGCAGAGAGAGGCGCAGGGGGGAGGCAGGTGATCCGGACATGCTGCACAAAAGCCAAGCGGGGGTGGCCTGGAGCAATGGGCGGCCGCTTTGCATAGTGAAACCACCAGCAGAAGCAGAGACACAGGGTGGAGGCAGGTGATTCGGACACACAAACTGTGGGAAAGCTGAGCTGCGACCGGCCATAGGAGGCTCATCTTCGCAACTCTTGGCTTCCCTGAAGCCTGCACAGCGCATGGGGATGGCCTGCCTTCCAATTGGTATCTTCTGCTCTGCGCAGCTGCAGGGTGTAACGACTAAGGGAGTAGTGGGCTGCAGCTGCTGCCAGATACTGTCAGTCCCCGTACACTTGCTGGCTCTTGTGTGTGTGCTGGAGGGTGGGCGCCTAGTCGGGCTGATCAGCCTGAAATCGTATTACCCTGAAAATAAGCCCTAGTGCCTATTTTGGGGCCCAAAAGAAAATAAGACCAGAGCTTGTTTTCAAGGAAACACGGTACATATAAACAAACACGTTTTCTATTAATTAGTTTGCCATAATAGATTATCTACAGACACAATTTAAGTATTGATGAACTGTCATCGGTTATTCTAACCTTATGTCTGCTTCTACATCTCTGCTGAGAAACCTAGGCCCTTTATTTTCAGAAGAGTAGTATCTTTCCTCAAACACCTGATCACCATCAGCAGTAAAAGCTTCCTTACAATTTTTAGGAGGCTTGTTGTGCTGCATAACTCTTCGAGCTTCGTAATTACTCTAAGAAAAAAATAAAGCACATCAACAATTTACAAGTAAACCTGCAATATTGACAACTCAGGAAGATTTAAAACAGAAGGGTCTGAAAACTTTTCTTAATGTGGTTATCACTACAATTTAAAATATCCAGCTGAATACCAATAAGCTTATTCCAATACTGTATTCTATTGGATTTATCTTTATGCATAAATTATTTCAAGCAGGAATCCATTCTCTCAAGATTATGGGTACATCACCCCCTTTATGTGACAGCCAGCAGATAATTTGCCTTAAATCAAATTTTATTTTAATTTCTCTCTTGTCACCGTTGATGAAACCAGCAAGCCTTTCCTTTACGCCCTGTCATCATTTCCTTTAAGCTCCAATATTTATTCTCTTACTTAATAGCAAAACAACTTGATAAACAACTGAACATGATTTGGTACAAAACACAAACAGCATATATTTAATGAATAGTCTGTCTAATCCTAAATAAAATGAATTCTCACAAAAATATCATGCTAACATTCTATATGCATTGCAAGTATGAGAGTAAATTCTTACTTTAATCAACAGGACAGTCTCTATGCTCCTCATGTCAATTAAGCAATTGGCTACTACTGTATGGTCAATGTCCAATGCCGTCAAAACTGTTGGGTAGTTAGGGTGAAAAACAGCCCTACGAGAAGTTAAAACAGTAAGATATATTGTTGTGACAACATATGATACTAAGGATTAATCTTTATAACCAGTGAGTCTGGTGCACAAACATAAATTTCTGGCAATAGACATAGAAACAGGAAACATTTAAAAAAAACATTTCTATCCTGAAAAAGAAACATGGAGGCTTTACAGGGTTTGTCATATGATCAACATCATTCAGAATTTTTCACTGTTCTGACTGCTACAATTGGGATATAGTTTTTGAATTTTAATTGGAAAAAAAAAAGAAAGTAATTCATAGTGGCAAATAGCAGATTGGAGGAGGATTGATTTAGAAATGGAAGGATAATTCTGGTGTAGAACATGAAACAGCAATTAAATACATTGCTGGAAAAAAGACTACTGCATACCAACTCATACATTTTTAGAGAATTCCCCAAACCTTGAGAACAAATTTTCAGAGGATACTTGTTTCCTCCTTTTAATTAATGGAAGATTTTACAAGTCTGCACATAAAAGAGCATATACTGGATATAAATTATGTATTCTATTAAAAGGCCTCATAAACGGGAGAACAGTGTTCACATATAACGTGTCAAGAATTATTATCAAAACGCCATTGTGAACCACTATAATGAGCTAAAGTTGACAAAAGGAAATCTCATATTTATTGATGCCAATCTCAGAAGTTACTTACAAACTAATTATATGCAAAGTTATTTTAAAATATCTCTCACTGAGTTTGTTTTCTAGTATATAAATTATGATTGAGCTTTAATTACAACATCGTTCAAACTACATCAGACAAGTGGGAATAAAGGAACTGATTTTAACAAAGGCTGATTTAGAAATTAGATTTTAAAAGAAAAGACTCAGATAAACTTACCTTGACTTTACATCATAAACACTGTTCTGAAAACGAATAACAATAATCGTAGGTCGAAAACCAGCTTGACAGTATTTGGACATCAATGCCTGTAATACTCTTTCATCTTTATGATTGTCACAACAAAATGCAAGTAGCAGGTTTTTTAAGCATGCTTCAACAGCCACGGTAAGTTCAGGATCTTTCAGATGAATAAAAGAACCTAAATGTAAGAATTAAACCTCAGTACATATTGTCAAAATAAGTTCCTTCAGTTGTACATGATAGGATTGCTGTTTTCTGACTAAAGAAGTGCTGCTGAATAGTGCCGAAAGCTTTTATAATTCAAACTGTGTATGGATTGCTTGTCTGTGATTTACTTCAGAGTCTTTTTTTGTAAATACACAACTCCTCAGTTCAACATACCAAAAATAAAATACAATGGCTTTTCCTTGCCATTGTAATACTTCCTAGAGGAGTGTGGAGGGATGGTTTGCCTTATATATTAAGATAAAAAATGTGGTTATACACAGACATATAACAGCAATGCTGCATTTATCCTTCAGTTTGCAAATATCAAAGCTGCAACTCAATACTTTTACTCTGTTGAATCAAAGTTTTCATTATTTGATTACATAAAGAACACTAATGGATTACCTAACGGTCCTATTGGTTTGTATGTAAACTGCCCTTGAGCATTAGCTGCATCAATTGCTTCACAAAGGTCTGGCATATATGATCCAAATCTTTTCATGCGATTGGTTTTACTCTCCTTTAATTGTCTTAGCTGTTGCTGTTGAGAATCTATTTTTCTTTTCACTTCATTTTCTTCCTGTCTAAACAAAAAACAAAAAAAATCCATCTATTTCTCTTTGAGAAAACAATTCATATGTAGCTTATTTTTTTCTTAGCAAAACTATTAATTCAGGATTCCAAAACTATGACATAGAGATAATTTATGGTGCATACCATGTTTTCCCCAAAATAAGACCGTCTTATATTTTTTTTTGAACCCCGAAATAAGCGCTTGGCCTTATTTTGGGGAAGGTCTTATTATTTTGGGGCGCATGGAGCAAGATGGGGCTCCTTTTGCCATCTTACCTGATTTCCAGATCTGAGTTTAAGTATTTTCGAGGAAGGCTTATTTTCAGGGGGAGGCTTATTTTAGTGCATGTGCTCAAAAGCCTGATTGGGCTTATTATTAGGAGATGTCTTATTTTCGAGGAAACAGTGTAGTAAAACTGGGTACTTATCAACATATACTCAGCTTAAGAATTTATTTTTATAAGTAGAATGAAATTTATTCTTTTAGCCAAACATACTCCCATTTTCTATTCAAATATTATAAAAATAAGGTGGGATACAAACAACTAAATCATTTAATAATGATCTGCAATTTGAAATTAGAAGAGTTCACTGTCTCCAAAAAATTATTCAAAGTTCTACAAATGCATCTGCTCTACTTTCATGCTTACAAAAGGAAAAATATTTTTGATTTTGTAAAACACGTGACTTACTTCTCCTTCAAAAAGGTGGATGACTTTACTTCTTACAGAAAAATAGTACAGAATCAAAATGATTTATGCTACTTCCCAGAACTAACCTAGACAAAATTTATATGCATATTTCCTCTCACACCTACATTGACTACTTCTTGCAGGTCCTTTATACCTATAGGGAAAACGTGCAGGCGAATGAAGAAGTCAAACAAGACATTATGATTAATTTGTACCTTTCTTTACTAGATTTACTGTATATATCCTATTATTTATTCAGTTCAAAGTGGCTTCCATATTGTTCCTTATTTTTCCCCACAACATTCCCTATGAGATAGGGTAGTCTGAAAGACAGCGACTGACCTTAAGTTTCCCATAGCTAATAGCAATAGTAGTAGCACTTAGACTTATATATCACTTCAAAGTGCTTTACAGCATTCTCTACACAGTTTATGATATCAGCATATTGCTTCCCAACAATCTGGGTCTTCATTTTACCGGCCTTGGAAGGATGGAAGACTGAGTCAATCTTGAGCTGGTCATGATCGAACTCCTGGCAGTGGACAGAGTCAGCCTGCAATACTGCGTTCTAATCACTGTGCCATCACAGCTAACAGCAGACTAGAATATGGATCTCCCACTTTCTGATCCAATATTTTACCCACCAAATCTAATAAACAATCAAGCCACAGTTAAACCTAAGAAGCTTACCTAAGTCGAGTAAAATCTTCATCGTATGAACGTAGAGCCTGTTGAAACTGTGTTATCTGCTGAGCAATAGATTCATCTTGATCCTGTAATGTCTTCAGCTTTTCTTTCAAGTGGTCTATTGTTTTTTGTTTTTCCACTTTATCAGGCGCTGTAATCTGTTCAGCACTGCAACATTGCACAATTTACATATTATTTTATCCAAGCACTAATTTGGTAAAATAACTTTGCATTATTTAAAAAAAAAAACAGTAACAAATACTGATGTTTTATTTACATTTCAAGTTATGTAATTATAGGGTATTTTTATGTGGCCTAACTTTTATGATAAAATCAACATTAATAGGACCATCTCCAACACTCCCATTTTAAAACAGGGTAATTTAACAAAAATACAGGTTTAATGCTTATACTGTATGACACAACCAATGGCTAAAATGGCTCTTATGACTCTTTTTGTTGTATATGTTTAAAGGGCACAGTTCATTTCTTTAAATGCGTGGAACTTTATGGATAGATAGATAGATGTTACTGGAAGAGGGATAATAAATGTAGATTTTGAATCACTCTCTGCCTCACCTATCCTCAAATGTGTTTTTGAATAGAGATTTGGAAGGGTAAAATGAAAAATGGAGAAGGGTAGAAATATCTACTTTGCTGATAGATGCAATTCCACCACCAGCAGAATATTCATTAAAGATTTGATTCTTTTTCTCTATATTGCACATTTCAATGGAAAACCATCATCATTTTTAATGAGCCCATTTTTTTCTAATTGAGAACATAATTAGAAAAAAAAAAAGTATTATTACCTATTTTTTAGTTCATCAATTTTTTTGTGCAGTTGTTCCTGATCTTTTAACAAACGCTTCAGTTCAGCTTGAGACCTGTTATGTGCTGCCTGGGCAAGAAAAACAGGGTCTGTGTTAAAAATAGCTTGAATGCAATTACAGTACATACTGACCCACAATTCAGATAGAGGAAAGGTCCTACAAATCCCTTCTTGAAATCATATTCTTCTGGGCCATAATTTGTTTGTTTTCCTAATCCATTTTTGCTTCCAACAGTGACAAAATCCACACAACTGATTTCACAAAATATAAGCATCTAAGATTACATTACTATGAGGCAGCACTCAGCAATTTAAGTGGATGGAGAATTCTAACCTCTGCATCATTGTGTCCTTTTCTTCTGGCGTGTACTTCTGTTTTCAAAGCAATACATGATGGTCCTAGAGTTTGAGCTTCTTCAGTTATCTTCTCTACCTCGTCTTGCCTAGTTCTATGTTTAACTTCTGCTGCATCAACTTTATTCTAAAAAACAAATGTCATGGAAGTGTTGAGAACAATCACACAAAAAAGTTAATGGTTCAAATCCATCTGAAAGTAATGAGATATGTTCATATGGTTACATTCTTTGGAATGCTGTAAAATGACAATACTTTGAAAAATGCAATTTTAATTGTTCCTTGCTTTCCAATATATTTTAGACCTCATTCAGGTGTACCATGAACACTGGAGTATGAACATTATAGCTGAAACAGTTATCTTTATAGGTATTTTCATCTTCGAACCCTTATTATACAGAAAAGTAGTAAACTGCCATTGGTGCTCCTGGAAATCAATCAAATTTGAAATTTATAATGTACTAAATTTGATGAAATATACCCATGATGGCGAACCTATGGCACGCGTGCCACAACGGAGGGCATGCGAGCTCAGCTCCAGCGCGCGTGTGCACGCTGGCAAACTGATTTTCAGGCCTTCTGGGCCCACTGGAAGTAGGGAAACAGGCTATTTCCTGCCTCCTGAAGGCCTGGGGGGGGGGAGGCCCATTTTTCTCTCTCCCCAGCCTCGAGCCTTTCTAGGAGCTTGGGGAGGGTGAAAACGGCCTTCCCTACCACCCCCAGAAAGCCCTCCGGAGGCAGGAAATGGCCCGTTTGCCAACTTCCGGTAGGACTAGAAGGCCCGTTTTTTGCTCTTGCCCAGCCTCCAGAGCCTTTCTAGGAGCCGGGAGGGAGTGGAGGTGGGGAATGGCACGCAATGGCAAAAAGGTTTGCCATCACTGAAATATACTATGCACTTACACTTCTGTTCTTAATCTGATCAATTAAACAGTGTTTTCTGCCTATTGTGTTCAGGTACCTACATCAAAAGTATCCTACACAGGGTTTAAATATAGCTTTGCTTCCAGAAGGAAGAAGCTTTGACATTTATTTAGAAGTAAACATTCATCTCAATTTGGTTTTGTTAGTATTATATAATAAGCCAGGTGATTAGATGTTTAAATGCTACAATGCACCAGCTCTGAAACCTGTTTCCCATTACTTTTATTATTCAGGTAACAAGAGAGGATCTTTTTACGGGTTCTATATAAAGGAACTCAAATTAAGAAAAGATCTAGATATTCATTTTATTCAATCTTCTATGTGCAAAAAACTCATTTTATTTATAGAAGTATTATTCCACAATTAGTTTTTATTTAGTCAGATTTCAAAATAAATCAACAGTCAGAGTATTTGTGTAATTCTATGTATAACAGGTTAGTTGTTCTTAATTTTCTGTAGTCTAATCTAGATCGTAACCAGAAACTTCAGTTTTTCTGAGGTGACAAATTAGTGACAATATAGAGGCAATTCTTGGCAAATTTTAATAATAATATTTTAAAAATTAATTTTAATATTTCAATTGAACCAACCATTTCATAACAAGTTTTGCAACTTACCTGCCATTCTTTCACTCGGTCAGTGAACTTATCAGTTTTTGCTTCTTGGGCAGTAACCTCATCTCTGATTGCTTTTATTTCTTTTTCAGTGTCTCGTACCTAAAATATAAACTCAGAATTAAAATCATTTATGAAATATTACAATCAAATTAAACTCATTAATATCACATTGCAAATGATAAGCCATTACCATCGCCCAAGCTATTTGACACTGCAATCCTTGTAGCTCATTCTGCATTTCACTCAAAGCAGCAATACTTCTGTAACGTTCCTCCTTCTCCAAATATTGCTTTCTAAGTTCTTCAAGGAACTGCAAGAAAATATAAAAAGATAGCAGAGGAAATACAATAATTTCTGAATGTGTACCACTGACTGAAAAGTTCAGCAGACTGAAGATAAAGTATGACCATTATAAGCTTTTCCAAGAAATTAAAAATTGAGATAGTTACAATGTGCCCAATTAAGACTTTTAAGGATCTTTTCTCATTGATCATACGTACTGTGAGACTGATTTTCAAGGTATGCACTGTGGATGGACTTCTTCCAGGTGTCACTAGTCCTCTAATTGTTTGGTTATACTCAATCTGGTTTGAAGTCAGTTTCTAAAAAGCCCTTTAAAATTCTATATTAACATAATGAGAACCTGGAGGTTAACTAACCACAAAAAAAAAAAAAAAAAGTCAAAAAATTGTCAAAAAGTAAAATTGAAAGAAAAGGGAGACCATGCAGAAACCAGTCCAACAGATAATTGAATTATCTTGAATTGGACTATTGTAAGTCAATTAATTAAAGGCTACCGTGCTAACTAATTCAGTTTTGCTAACACTTTAAAACATAAAAAATGCATTTATTTATTTGATATAAATTCATTTAATGTTTAATAGTGTATTTTTGCTGCAAACTACAATATTAGAAATAGTTTTCTAATACCTCTCCTCCTTGTTCAACTTGATCAGATGTTCTTTGTTTAGTTTCCATGATGTATGAATAATCTTCTTTCATCTGCTCCAGTTGAGTTGCTTTCATAAAAAACTCAAGAAACATAAAAACCATGTTTTTAAAACTGTCCTTTTAATAAAGCAAGAGATATGAATGCATTTTTTTTCATAGTTGAACAAAGCTGTCTTTCCCACACTCCAGTTCAACAAATGCAACACAAAAATACAATATTAATAAGCCTGTCCTGTAAATGCAAGTTAGGGCCTTCTGTGCAACTGTCCATATATTGCTCTAGACTAGGGGTGTCACAAGGCCCATGGGCCATACTGGAAAATGTAGGGGGCCGGCCCACGTCACCTCAGCCCGGTCTACCCAATGCGAAGAGGAAACATGCCAACAGTTTGGGGAATGACGTCAAACTGGCCACGTTCCCTCAGTTGGCCATGCCCAGCCAGTTGGCCACGCCCCCCAGGTAAACCACAGCCCTGATGCAGCCCTCAATGAAATTGAGTTTGATACCCCTGCTCTAGACATTTCTCTCTATGCTCTTCAAGTTACTCAAAATTAAGAATTGATGGCAGACGCTGGTTTCCATTCTTCAAACATTCGTATTTTTTTCTGTACAAACCTGGTCCATCCTGTTATACATCGCAAACCATACCACGTGGTGGCTTTATTACCTTGTATTTGTCACCTTCATTTTTAGACTGTAAAAACTGTTTGCTCATTTCCTGGGTGAGTACAGAGACGGGATTATCTACCTGAAACAAAATAGAAGTATTTTATTTTGTAAAAAATTATAGTCAGCTACCTGACATTCAACTATTCTCCTCCATATCTATTCCCACACACACTACATTGTCATAATTACAAAGTTCCAGCTTGTTTTTAAACTTCTAATGAACACATATAACTGTAAATTAGGAGCCTTGGTAGTACAGTGGTTTAAAGCACCCTGTTATTAAGACCAGATGCCTGCAATTACTGCAGATTCGAATCTCGCCAGGCTCAAGGTTGACTCAGCCTTCCATCCTTTCTAAGGTAGGTAAATTGAGGACCCAGTTGTGGGGGCAATAAGCTGACTTTGTATAAATATACAAAAGGATGAAGGCTATTGCTTAGCACCTTGTAAGCCGCCCTGAGTCTCCGGAGAAGGGCGGCATATAAATCAAATTAAAAAAAAAAAATCACTATATTGTGTTTATATTAAGTATTAAGTTTTTTTTTTAGTTTTATGAACTGATAACTCAGGGGATTTTTGTTTGTTTAATTCAATTACAAATTCCACATACTGCATGACCCCACAATTCAGATTATCAATGGGATGGTAAAAATGTATATATAGCACTGCTCAGTACAGAATGGAATTGCAGTTACCTGGATATTAAAGTGATCCAGGATTGCAGTAAGTTCTTCTTTCTTGGAAGAAATTAAGACTCCTAAATATAAGAAAGAATAACTGTAAGTATCATTATAAGTATTATTGTACAGCCTTTTAACAGAACAGGCTTTCTAAGAATGTACCCATTTAAGAACAAGTTGTCTGAGCTTCACTATGTAACTTAAACAAAAGGCAAATAGAACCAAATGTGTCATGAAGCTCCCAGATACGGTTTTGTCAATGTGCCTGTATTGCTAGTAGCAGAATTTATTGGAAATTGATGGGGAAAAAATAATATCTTAACAAGCCCAGACATAGGCCTACCTGCCTTGTGCCTCCAGGCCTTCCCCAGCCCAAGCTCGGTTCCCGGCCCCTGAAGATTCCCTGCACCCAACCCAGCCACTCAACCAGCCTGAGCCTAAAGCTAAGCAGCAGAAGCTACCAGCAAGTGAGGAGCTGTTGGGAGCATGTGGGCCTACTTCCCATCCAGCCACCCAAGGCAACCTAAAGTCAGGCAATAGAAGCTTCTGGGACATGGGAGATTCTTACAAATTGTAGGTCTCGATCTACTTCCCATCCAGCCACCCAGGGAATTACAGGACTTGGCCTGCTTCTCAGCTAGCTTCGGTGACTTGTGGCACCTGACATGCCTTTACTTGCAGAGTCCTGCAACTCCCTGGGTGTTTGGATGGGAAGGCCTTGGCCTACAAGCTCTAACAGCTCCCCACACGCCAGTAGCTTCTGCTAACCAGCTTTAGAGTTTCTTGGGTAGTTAAGTGTCCGAATCAGAAGCAAGCTAAAGGTCTGCAGGGAGCTGGTAGGATGGGTGCAGAGACAGGTGGGGGGCCTACTGTAGCATCCCTACAGTGGGTTGTAACGGTGAACAACTGTGGGGGCTCTGCAATGGCCGTAACTTTGAAATTGGGTGGCAAGTAGCTTTTGGGAGGGTGGGCAGTCATAACTTCTAATGGTCATTAAGTGACTGATGATAAGTCAAGTCATTTGTATGTTTTGAACTAGAGGTCCCATAAGTCCCAGCCAAAATACCTATGATTTATGCAAACTACAGTCTGAATACACTAGATTACTTATTCCCGATTGTTAATGATTGCTGACGCTGGATTGTATACATAAGCAGAAGCATTTGGATCCAAGACATGGTATTTTCACAAAACATGCAATTAATGTGCATGTACATTAATGTGTCGTTCATGTAATTAATTAACATGAATGGAAGGGGTGCTTCATATATTGAACTTAAAACATACAGGAAACATATTACTGGAAAAGGGTAAAGAACACTAAGCAACAGTAATCCCGGGGATCCTCACTGCTGTTATTAAGTGAAAATTGTGGGTCATTAAGCAAGAACCTCACATGATTGCAACTTCATGCCGGCTCCCAACAACCAAAGCTGGCTAGAAGATGCAACTCCAAGGCAGTTCCCAAGCAGCCCGAGTAGGTGAACACAGAGGGGAGTACCGCACGAATGCGTGCTGGCTGGGGATGGGTGCTGTGGTATTATCTCATGCTCTGTAGCAGGGTCCTAGGGAGAAAAAAATGTGGGAGCGACTTGCAACTTTCTCTGCTGGCTTCTCCACTGTCTTTGCTTATGGGAAACCGGCATAGAAGGCTGCAAATGGCTATCACATGACTATGGGATGCTGTAATGGTAGAGCCAGTTGCCAAGTGCCTAGATTAAGATCACATGACCGAGTGGTGCAATGGCCAGGGTTGCTGAACAAATGATCTTTAACTAAGATCTATCTGTACAATTAACTTTTTTTTTCTAAAGTATTTTAAATGTATTTTCTGAAAATACATTTTCAAAACTGAAAGTGAAATATAAACAAACCTGTATTGCTTTTCAGCTTATAACTACGATGTCCTTCTGAGGTTATGTGCTGATTTATAGTAATACAGTCACCATATTGCTCTGGTTTAAATGCATCTTCACCTCGATTTCGCAGAGTGATTGAAACATCTGCAGAACTGAAGCACAACATGATTTGCCATTGAGAGGCTTCTTATTTATAACAGTACTTTAAATGGTCACAATATAGTTTTCAACAACTGCACTGATCTTAGTTTAGAAAGCTTATATAGCTAAAGCTTTAAAAGACAACCAACAGATCCCTTACTCGTCAACTGCAGTTGATATTTGAGCCTGGTTCCCATCTTTTAACTCAGCTCAAGCATCCAACTGAATATCAGTCATATAACTGAAAGCAAAATAGAGAAAGAAGCACAAAGGCAACTGCAAGGCAGGCTGAATGATGGCTCATATGACTGTTGAACTGACCACTCAAAGTACTGAAGTTAAAAATAAAATAAGATGTTTTCTTAACCGTTTGTATCTATGTATGAATAAGATAGCCAGTACCTGTAGAAGAGTAAGCAGGTGTTAAATATCAAAAGAGCCGAGCATAGCAATTTCAAAAGACAATACTGATATACGAAATATAAAAGACTGAATATTTATAGCAACACAATAGAAATCCACACCGCAATTCCCTAAAGAACATAGCCAATGCTATAATAGCTCTGGTGGATTGAATCCAGAGCATATCTCAGCTGAAAATTTTGCTACCTAGTAACAGAAGCCAGAGTAGATTAATTGGAAAAAAGTTGTGGAGAATAGCTTCCCCTGTCCATTCTCTCACATCATTGAATCCTGAATTGAAGGAAGCAATCTAAACTTTTCTTCAGATAGCTGAAATGTTTGCAGAATCTAAAAACAAACTGAAGAAGCAAGGAGAAGTGTGCAAATGCCTCCTTCTGTCCTGCATTTCTCCAGATGGAGAAAGTAACTGTCTGCAGGGGATATGAATTTTGTCCCAGGGAATTTAGGATCTCAAAATTAAGAATGGGGTTATAGCCATTAATTATTAATTAAAAATAAGATTGAGGTTTTTTAAGGACTATAACTTCAGACTACAGCATCACACACAATACCATCTAGTGCAGTGATGGTTAACCTTTTTGGTGCCGAATGCCCAAAGTGCACACACGCGGGCCCGAACCCCCAAAATGCAATGCGAGCACCCGTTCACACATGCGTTCCCAGTGCATGAGCCCCGCCCCCCCTGTGCATGCGCCCCTGTGTCCTGTTTTGGCTTCCAGGGGCACAGCGCAAGGGCCAAAATGCAATGTGAGTGCCCCATGCATCACCCTGTCCCTGTGCATGCGCAGCAAAGATCCGAAGATCAGCTGGCTGGTGGGAGGCATGCACACATGCGTGGTGAAGCTGGGCTGGGGCGATGGCTGGTGTGCTCACAGAGAGGGCTCTGCATGCCACAGGTTCGCCATCATGGATCTAGTGCAAACACCCACTCAATTAAAAATTCAAATTAAACCATTCCCAACATTCCCAGTGACTATCCAGTTTTTGGTTGAAAACATTCAGCAAAGAGGAATCCACCACCATCCTAGGTAACTGGTTCCACTTTCCAACTGATCTCATTTAAAGCATCTTTCCTAACATTAAATAGGAATTTTCATTCCTGTTTTAAGATTATTCTATGTCCTGAATAGAATAGTGTTCTAATGAGACACAGAATCAAGCAAAAATTAATCAGGAGGAAAAATTAATCAAAGAGGAACGCACCACCGTCCAATAGTAATATGATCCACTTCAAAAGTTATACTGGTTTCTTATCTATTGATTACCTAAAGGTAATCTCCAACTTTTCAAAGCCTGGAATTTAAGCGTCTCATATCCTCAGTTGGCTAATGCTTGCAATAGCTGAGACAGTATGGTCTTTCCTTTGCCAAAATCTTTCTATGGAGTAAAGTAGTCTCAAAATAAATTAGTTTAGAATTAAAATTTATTTATGTGATCATCACATATTTATATTGCGCAGCTCACCTAAGAGACTCTAGATGTTCCTTCCCCATACCTGGCATTGCAAATCAGTCTAAAAAATGACTGTTTTTAGCTAAAAGACCAGAGATCCTTCTCCACACTTAGTACTGCTCTTGCTGAAATTCACTAACCTCTGTCCATCTTTCACAAATACTTTCAAAGACGATCCTCGGTTTGTCACTGTGGCTTTTCCTCCAAGACCTACAATCAAGGCAGTTAATACAGCACTTTTCCCACCTGAAAAAAAGCAATAAATATAAATGGAACCAACAGTGATACAACTATATTGTGTACCCAGAGACTCTTTTTTTAAAAAACATAAACTTGTCTTCAGCCCACACCTTCAACCTTTCATCCAGCCCATTATTGAAAAAAAAACCTTTGCAAACAAGCTATTGAGAAAAAGAGGAGAAGAGATGATGTTAGAAAAAATGTAGGTAATAAAGGAGAGAGAATGACTACGGCTAAAATACTTGACTTAGTAACAAAATGATTAAGGCTGAAAACTCAGTGCTATGGTAAAGACTCTTCCTTCGGCACAATCTAAAACAATTATTCATTGTTCCATTTTCTTAGTAACTCAGGACAATCCCTGAAGCCAAGCGCAGGGGTGGGAGTGCTAGCAGGGAAAATTAAGTATCTTTCAGGCTCAGAAATGATTAAGCTTGAGCATCATTCAAATATCCTTTAGGAAATTCATGCCAACAAACAACAGCTCGAGTGCTCTCAAGAAAATTAAACTGGTGCTCAGTAACTGAAGTAACCATTGGGGTAAGTGGTGGGACGATGCAAAGACGATACAAACTTTAACATGGTGGAGGGTACAGGATTCTACTGCTTCATCCACATCCTTTCCCAATTAGCTGAACTTTTCATGAATTACCTTTAACACAAAGGTACTGAAGGAAAAGTGCTGAGTGCTGCAAGCAGCAGCCTCTAACACACGGTGTCAAACTCGCCACGTGACATTGCCGCCACGTGGTGTTTCACGATGTTTTTCCCATTCACGGAGCTGAGATGGGCGTGGCCTGTGCGGGCCGCCAGTTTGACACCCCTGCTTTAATACAAGCATCCATTTCACTTTATTTTACTTCAGACACCCTGCAATTGTAGATATGTGACATCGCAAGTCACTTGACCTTGGAACACCATGACCACTAGCGTTTTAGATTTATTACCATTTCCTGCCTTTGAACCATTCTTTTTCAAACACGGAGATGGTTATGCTAAACTAGATTCTGCCCTTGATACTTTTCTTACAAATGACTTCAAGTAAAATATAGAAGACCATGGAGATTCTCAATCATCCTGGTCATGGTTGTCCCAAAGATGCTTTTCAAAAGGCAACTAGACCTTCTTTTTTCCTTGAAAACATTCCGTTTCTTCAGAACTGAACTTCAAGAAGCTTCTTCAGAACTGAAGAAGCTTCTTGAAGTTCAGTCCTGAAGAAGCGAAACATTATCTAGAAAGAAAAACCCCTTTGGAATAATATAGAAGCTCCAGATTCTGAAGTTGTGGACTAGTAGAAAACTTGAATGATTGGCAAATATTTGTACTTGCAAGTCTATATGATTCATGGGTGAAAGAAGCATGATCTATAATGGCAATCCTTGGTTTCTCAAAGAACGTAGAGTAGGCTGCAATCTGGAAGAAGGGTTTGGGCAATCCGATAAATCTCACTCTCATTCATGCTGCTTAACATTGTTTTGTTTTATATGAATGAACCAAAGGAAAATAAGGCAGCAGACCTGCTCCTGAGGGCAATGGCAAAATCTGATCAGGCACACACATTCAAAGATATGTATTTTGGAGCTTCATTCACAAGTATTAATTGCGGGGTTGTAAATTCAGAGTGGGAGTACAAAATTGGATTGTCCAGCTATGTATGCACTCCTTCCATGCTTTTGTGTTAAGATGATTGGAACTTCAGGATAAAACATAATCGGTGTGGGTTTTGATGAGGCAATAGGAGGCACGACCACAAACCAGAAGCCAGACCACAGCTGCATCATTAGCCACTTTAAACTCCTCCAATCCATACATGAAGCAAACTGACATCCATCATGAAGATGTGGCACGACCATGAACGCGAAGCCAAACAGCAACGCAGCTTACCAGCTCAAATCCCCCTGCAAGACTAACCCGAGCACAACCAAGCCCCCACCCAAACAGAACACAACCCCATCCAATCAGAGCACAGCCAACCCACCAGCCAATCAGAGCACAGCCAAGCCTCCAACCAATCAGAACACACCTCCACCCAATCAGAACACAGCCAAGCTCCCCCCAATCAGTTCACACACCCACTGGCAGTTAAAAGGAAGAAACAGCTGTGATCACATATTGCTCCTAGAAGCACGAAGATGAAAACACCCGCCTGAAGATGACGAATGAGACTTCGTCAAAACGTCACCAAGACACTTCCAATTTTACGCGGGAGAAAACCCGAATAACCAAAGACCTACATACACCCGCGAAAACCTCAGAAAACAAATATGTATGTATGTATGTATGTATGTGTATATATGTATATGTATATGTATATGTATGTATGTATGTGTATATATATATATATATATATATATATATATATAACATATGTATGTATGTATATATATATATCAATTTTCTTACTTCTTCGTAGGGTTTATGTGTGTTTTTCTTCTAGCCAGGTTTTCCCTACGTAGCCAAGGTTTTTTTGTAGCTCCAGCTCAGTAGAATCTCATCTACTCGGTTCTGGGCTTTTTTCTTTTCTAACACCTAGCAAGCTCTCACTGCTAGGTAGGAGACCTAAATAGATCCATTTCTAGCTCGTTAGCTGTCATCAGTAGGCCACATCCATATCCTCCCTGTAAAGGCACAGTATCAATTTTCTTACTTCTTCGTAGGGTTTATGTGTGTTTTTCTTCTAGCCAGGTTTTCCCTACGTTCCCTACATTCCCTACGTTGGCTACGTAGGGAAAACCTGGCTAGAAGAAAAACACACCATATATATATATATGTCTACAAAAGTTATTATTGAACTCCATTGCATGTGTTTCTTTAATATTTAATATTATTTATACATATATTGTGTGTGTTTACATATACACACACACAAAAAATGTATATGTGTGTGTGTGTGTGTGTGTGTATATGTGTGTGTATATATATATATATATATACATACATATATACACACACACACACACACACACACACACATATACATGTTTTGTGTGTGTATATGTATACACACACATATATATGTATAAATAATATTAAATATTAAAGAAACACATGCAATGGAGTTCAATATATAACTTTTGTAGAATCATGCATGAAATGAGCTACTCACTGAAGAAAGCTGATGAGAGTTTAGCTATTTACCCACTGGCTCTAGTGCTTCAAGGTAAGAACAGACAGTTATTTGTTCTTTTGTCAGTTATAGTGCCAGGTTCAATCACTCCCTATATGGATTTCCCTTATTATTTCAAGTTCCCCCTTTCATCAATCTTTCCGGTAGTTGGCAGATTGATAGCAGTCACATGCACTGTCATTTCAACTATTCTTGTTGTCCTTAAATCAGGTGCATCCAACCCGTGGCCCAACAACTGCAGGTGGCCCTGGACAGCTAGTAATGTAGCTTCACATAATAAAGATATTAAGATACACGCTAACTATATTTTGTATTTTATATGCAGCCCAATACAATTCCTCTTCATTCAATGTAGTCCAGGCAAGTCAAAAAGTTGGCACCCGGGCCTTAGATAGAAAATCAGGGATCAGGGATCAAAAACTTGCATTATGCTTCTGTTTTTTCTTATGAATGAAACATTCAAAATACTTAAGTTTTAGTCCAATGGAGTAAAGCAAACCATTTTTTAAAAGATTTGATTTATATGCCGCCCTTCTCCGGAGACTCAGGGCAGCTTACAATGCATTAAGCAATAGCCTTCATACTTTTGTATATTTATACAAAGTCAGCTTATTGCCCCCACAATCCGGGTCCTCATTTTACCTACCTTTAGAAAGGATGGAAGGCTGAGTCAACCTTGAGCCTGGTGAGATTTGAACTTGCAGTAATTGCAGGCAGCTGATGTTAATAACAGTGCTTTAGTCTGCTGCACCACCAGGGCTCTTTCAAGATGTGTACTCTTAAAGCGCAGCCAACTTTGAATTTTCAAATGCAGCATTATTACAGATTCAAATTGAAGCAAAATGAATGTTTACAAATTTTCTGCATGCCTACAAATGAAAAGCTAACACCATAACATTGCTTTTGATTGAAGAATTATAACTTACTTCCATTATTTCCAACTACAAAATTGACATTGGATCCAAACTTGAACGGCCCCAACATAGAGTGGCACATAAAATTCTTCAGCTGGATACTTTCAATTATCCCAACATCCCCCGAGACCTACGAGTACATCAGAAAGACATTTTAATTGCTAAAAAATATATATATCCTGATCACAAATTTCTTCTACACAAGCTGAGAAAGCCCCAAAACCTCACAATGCTGACAGTACAATGTTTGAGTGGTTCTGAAATTCTATGGTACTATGATTTCTAAAATAACTGAATGTATGTGACCTCCTCTAAAAAACTAATGATTTCTTTGGTATTAGAATTGGGCAAAATTCAATCTATCATTTATTTTTAAACGGTGCATTAGAGGAATTTTCAAAATTTGTAATATAGGAACTACTTACTCTATGCTTATACAGAAAACTGTGATGCAAAGGCCAAAGTGTTTTGTCAGTACAGATAGTCCTCAACTTACGACCACAATGGAGCCCAAAATTTATGTTGCTAAGTGAGGCATTTAAGTGAATTTTGCTCCATTTTACGACTTTAATAGTCATTAAGTGAATCATTGCAGTTGTTAAGTTAGTAACATGGTTGTTAAGTGAATCTGGCTTGCCCTTTGACTTTGCTTGTCAGGTCCCAGGAAACTGCAACTGTCAGAAATATGAACCAGTTGCCAAGCATCAGAATTTTTATCATGTGACCATGGGTATGCCACAATGGTCGTAAGTCACGTTTTTCAGCACCATTGTAACTTTGAACAGTCATTAATGGACTGCTGTATGTCGAGGACTATCTGTAGTCCCACTTTCCCTGAACAAGCCTGAAAGTATTTTTTGGGGAGGTGAAAAAAAACTGTAATCCACCAGGAAGGCCCAACACAGAGTTAAGAAATACCTATTGTGGCAGAAACCTTGGAAACAATTCTTCCTCTATTTTTCAACATATACAGATAATCCCCAGGTTACGAGCGTTCCGTTAGCGAACGTTTGAAGTTACACGATAAGCACCTCCCTCCAAAGCTCTGTTCCTATCAACAAAAGCTTTTGGGAAAGGGCTGTCGAAGCCTACAGGGACGCAATCCTCAAGTGCTTTGGTGGTGATAAAGGAGGCCCAGAGGTGCGCGTGTGACCCTCCACACATTTTTCATCGCCAAAGCCTTCCTCAAGCAGTTTGGCGGCAAGAAAGGAGGCCCAGAAGGTTGCGCACGCCCTTCCAGGCCTCCTTTTTCATCACCAAAGCAGAAGCGGTTCAGTGATGAGAAAGGAGGCCTGGAATGGCACACACAGCTCTCCAGGCCTCCTTTTTCATTGCTGAAACTATCCTCAAGCGGTTTGGTGGTGGGAAAGGAGGCCCGGACCACTTGAAGACTGCTTTGGTGATGAAAGAGGAGGCCTGGAAGGGCGCGCACAACCTTCTGGGCCTTTTTCATAGCCAAATATTATTTTGCATATGCACACCCAATACTGGATTCAAGCACCAAGTCACAGAGTCTACTCTTTGACACCATCATAATGCATATTTTTGTCATTGCCCCAATGCCTCTCATCACATGGCTAACAGTGAGTTATATTTAGGATTTTAGTTCAGCATCTGAAGGATCACAAGTTGCTCACTGCTGAATCAAAATGTATAAAAAATTGAAACAGATGATTAATTTGATGCCTAGTCACTTCATCAAGTGTGGTTTTTAATGTTTGTTTGAGACTGTTGTTTCATTTTTCCTTTCAAGATAATTTCAAAATTACATTGTTGCACTTATAGCTTACCAATTGAGCATCGGAATTATTATCATTCATTAGATGTGAGAATTCGTCACCAAGGTCTTCATCAGAGCTATCTGGGAATTCTTGCCTAGATCTTTTGTGGGATACCGGCGTTGAAAAACGGCGTTCTTTTCTTTTTGCCATAACTAAAAGCAAACATTGAATAAAAGTTATCTCACTCCATGCATAACTGTAAAAAAAAAAATGCCATCAGCATGCAGCTAAAACTAATACCATTCATCTCACTGCAACAAGTTTAAAAACTGGTATATAAATACTGAATTAAAATTAAAGGTTCCCTGTAGTATTTAATTTTGGCTGTTTAATTCCCCGTGAGGGAAAGATCAGGAATTATTCTGAAAGAATTAAGAGAGATACACTTTAATTACACTTTGTTAAACAGAAATGTCATAAATTCAAAGAAAAAAAATAATCTTTAAAACAATCGAAGAACTATGACTTAGTATAGCAAGAGCACTTAGTTTTATATACCGCTGTACAGTGCTTTACAGCCCTTTTTAAGCGGTTTACAAAGTCAGCATATTGACCCCAACAATCTGGGTCCTCATTTTACCGACCTTGGAAGGATGTGGTAGCATCCCCCAAGTGGTGAACTCATATTCCCCAAGAGAATCACTCCTGAAATCTGGCAGTAAACAATTCAATCTCAACAGCGTAATTTCAAGTAATTTTCCTCAGATTTTGGAGGAGGTAGGAGCACCAGCACAGGGGTAGGTTCTACTTATATCCGCTACCAGTTCACAACGGGCATGCACAGATCGTCCGTGGTGATGTCCAGCTGGGTGGGTGGAGCCTTCCACCACCGTTACTACAGGTTCACAAGAACCGGACCAAACCGGGAGCAACCTACCACTGCACTAGTATCTAACTCAGATTCTCACCTTTAAAATGCACTTAAATACACACAAGAACAATTTTAGTAAGGGAAGGGATTGACTATTTTGATTAAAATAATGGAAATGGGAATACTCTGCCTCCCATGTGCCTTTTACTCCTATTCCTGTTAAAATCCTCTAAAATAAATTATAGTTAATTTTTTGAAGATGGCCAACAAATGTCAGCCATACCACTTCTGTTGATATTACTAGGTAGTCTGTAGCACTCCAGAACTTCATAAAACTGTGTTTGGTACCCAGCCCCTCAAAACTGTCTGCAACTTCTATAGTCAGTCTCATTTTCAATATATGAAAACTATATATTTTTATAATATGAATATGTCTCACACCAGTCATAATTCCATTCTCAATTCATTCAATTTTCTTAATTAAACTGTGTTTAAAGCACCTTTATTTTTCAGGCTCTTGGGGTTTTGGATATGATAATTTTTTAAAGAAAATTTTGGCTTCCTTTTTAATTTTTCTAGTAAGTTTCTTTTAGTTTGATTTATAAAGATACAGATTTATCCTTTTGTTGCACGTCATCCTTAAAATGGACCATAGGATGATGATTACTTCTAATAACTAATGAAAAACTCATTAAAAATTAAGCAATTTTTAATTAATTGCTTAATTTTGATTGACTTAATTTTGATGTTTGAAATCAATTTCAAGTTGATTTCAACTCCTGTGATTTCACGAGCATTTCTATATAGTTTTCTAGACAAAGATCAAAGAGCAGACTGCATTCTTTCTCAACTTTCCTGTCTAGTCTTACAACACTAGTTCTCCTAGTACTCCTTAGTAATCTCCCACCCAAGTATTAACTAACCCCAAACATCGATATTTTCAGTTGGGCATGGCCATCTGCTAAGCGTCATATAAATGGAATTAAATGCTTATGTTATTATAATATGGCAGTGTCTAAATACACAGCCCTCCCCCCACCCATTACAATAAATAAAACGATTGGAAATCTGACATTATACTGCTTTTCGTGTTACTCGGTCCTTTAGAAGTTTAGGCAATTCCCCACCTCGTAATGTCTCAAAAAGGCATTAAAGGCTTTACCAGGAAGACGGCCAAAAAATCCTTTTTAAATCTATCCCTCCCATTTTTTTTATATAAATGGTTTACTTCCTTTAAATCAAACCTTTCTCTCGCTGAGAAAATTTTCTTTGTAAGGGAAAAAAAAAAGATGGAAGCTTGTTTTCATTCTTTCAAACAAAAACAAAACAAAAAAAAAAACCCAGACCATTTCCACTTCCGTCCTACCAGGCGGGCAACCAGCTCCAATCAGGGAGCGCAACTGAACGGCCAATAAATACAACCAGAAGCAAAAGCTGGTTTATTTCATTCCCAAAGTTAGATCTCGGTTTAATTCTGGCGTATCGGGATGCAAACTTCAAGGCAAGTCGTCTCTCTGCCTAGGCGGCATAGCACAGCTGGGGAGCCGCCTTACCTGAACAGATCTCGGGGGAGTGGGGGGTGGGGAAGACTCCTCTCCCAACCCTTTTTTCTCAGCCCCTCCTTTTCCCCTCGGCTGAAGCTCTCGCAAAAGGCGACCCTGGGCAGGCAACGCCTCTTCTCCCCCTTCTTAGGTGGGCTAGGATGATGGGCAGGGCGATTCCGCCTGGAGATCAGCGGCAGACATGACCTCTTGCCTTCGCCCCACAAGAAGAAGAAGAAAATGCCCTTCACCTGCCCAGGGTGGGGAGGGGGGAGCAAAAATGCAGCTGGAAATGAGGACGGAGCTCCGTTACAGCCCGTCTTCTTTGGTTTTATTCCCGGATCGTTTTGGATCGAGCCGCTGCCACACTCTCCACCCTTCCCTCCTCCCGGGCCAAACCCGTTTCCCCAGCCCCTTCTGGGGCTGTCCTCGGAGGGAGTCTCCCGATGCTTGAAAAGGCTGCCGCGTCCTTCTTGCGCCCTTACTTGGAAAGGTTCTGTCGATATTACCGTTGGGCAAAATCGCCAAGCGCGTGGCCCCTTCTCTCGCTTCCCCCCACCCCCAAACCCGGCACCGCTCCTCTCGAAGCCCCGCAGCCGGAGCGCGCCCGAATCTTGGGGGGGCGGGGGGGGCGCGACTGCCAGGACGCATGCGCAGTTCACGACTGCTCCGTCAGTTTCGCTTTCTAGGCCGGATTTGCATAAATGGAAGATGTGCCTGGAAATCTGCCATTGGCGGGCAAGCTAGCTGCGTAGGGCATCGAATTGCGTTCCACGCCTGGTGATTGGTTGTTAGACAAAGACTCGCGTTCGGTATTAAGCGTCACGCTCTCAAGAAGGAAACAGAGCGAAAGACGCTACTCTATGGTTTCCAAATCCATTTCTATTTCGTATTCCGCTGGGAACCAGAAATGACGTAATAATAGCATGGAGCGTGTTTCCTGTTCGATCAAGAGTTCTGCCCCATCCCCTCGCCGAACGTCATGACTCCGCGCAAGCGCAGTTAGGCCCCATTGAATTACGAATCTTGGCGCTGTTACTTGGAGAAGGCGCTGTTACTTGGAGAAGGCGCTGCCTTGTCTGTCCGCATTCGGGCGGGTGACCGTCGATGTGTTGAGAGGTACCGGGATGAAGATTTACCTTGCTGTTGAGATCGCAAGAGTTTTTTTTTTAGTTTTTTTACTTGAGTCTGATTCGGTGCTAGATTATAATTTCTGTATACTTATCTCGGAGTTGAGTCTCATTAAATGTCAGAAGACTGGACTGCATGCCTAAAAGCAAATATACAAATCATAGGAAATCCTTTCTGAGATATAATTCGTTGCATCTGATATAAAACTTGCCAGGCGTGTAGATGATGACAGAGGAAAAACTGAATAACGTTACTCTACAGCGTAATATTAAAATTGCCCTTGCCTGGGAGGAAAACCTAAAATAGAAACCTCTCTATATAAGAGGAGAAAAAGTTGTGTTTTCTAAGGAACTTAATTACATATCTCTCATTGGTTTCTGTATTAAAGGTATTCAGTTGCAGTCCCTAGCCTAGTGCATACCTTCTGATTCAACAGAAAGATAGGGGCTCCCCTGACTACACAAACACACACACAAGCATGTTAGTTGGCTACTCACAAAATAAAAAGATATACTAAAAATAGAATAATGGCATTAAAATAGATCTGGATAAAACAAGGAAAGTGCAGAATTACTGACAAAACAAAAAGCTGAAAGTATTTTTTTTTTTAGAAATATAGCTGTATGCTCCATTCTCAGACATTTCTGCTTGTCCCATCTCAAAAATAGCATGACTATAAAGATGCAAATTGGACTACCAAATGAGTGTGTATTAAAGGATCTTCCCTATGAAGAAAAAACTAAATGACTGAAGTTTTTTTTTATCTTAGAAAAAAAGCCCTTGAAAATATGATTAAACCAGATTACTGTACATTATGTGTTTTGGAGAGAGTGAAACTTTTTTCCCCCCCTCTTTCAAAATCAGAACTAAGATCTAGTGATCTTCAATAACAGGGCAATACAGGCTATGCACAAACATATTTTCTCATTTCAGATTATTTTGCATGTGTGGTTGATTAACTTATTCTTCAATGATTCTTGATGAACGTATCTTTTCCTTTATGTATATTGAGAGCATATGCACCAAGACAAATTCCTTGTGTGTCCAATCACACTTGGCCAATAAATTTTTCTGTTCTATTCTATTCTATTCTATTCTATTCTATTCTATTCTAAATACGGTAGTTAAAATCTGTTGTGACAAATTTACAGTGAAAGACAAATTTATCAGTTAGCATTCAATATGATGTTGAAATAGAACCATTATGTTTGGGAGAGATATCCCTCATTATCTGATGCTTGGGGGAGAAGATGAAGTAATTCTGCCTGTGAATTTTTTTAAAGCATCTAGATAATGACTTTCGGAAACAACATATTTGTTTAAATCCATCACTAGACTAATCAAGTGGGATTCTTCATATTATGTATCTTAGCATAGAAAAATGACAGATGTATTAGGGATTGTTAACCTCTAGACACCTCTTTCAGAAATGAGCTCCCCTGTGTTTATAGGTCTTGTTCAAAGAAAAACATAAAACAAGACTGAAGCTTGAAAGTTTCAAATGCTGATGTGCTATTATTTTCACAACTACTTAATAGTCTCTTAAAATTTAGACAAAGTAAATCACTATGACTACCTAGGAAAATTAATTATTCCAGAAGAAGCAAAGCTAAAAAGTTTACGGAAAAAAGGGCTTATAGATTTTAATGCCATCTGCAACATAAACAAGATCAGGATGTGAATAGCACAAGGAAGAGAAACTCTGAAGTTGAGAAATTTGTCACTTAAAGAAGAGTTCAGTGTTATTTTATTTTCGATAGTTCCGCTAACTCCTGAGATAAAAGAAATTTTGCACATAGCTAAAAGTATTAGGTTCTTAACTTTTGTGGGGTTTTTTTAGAAAAGGCTTTAAAACTGAGCAGAACAGTTTCTTCAAAGAAATCATTCTGATTATTAAAGTTGAGTTTAAAAAATACAAGAGGAAAAAGAAGGTTTTGGCATTGCTTCCTACATGAAGTCTTTCATATAATTTCTTTTAAGTTGTAACTGCTGATTTACCAATACAAATTAAGTTTTTGCTAAGAAGAGCATGTATGTATCACTAGAATAAATTTCTCCTCAGTGCCCTCCCCACCCCCTTCCCATCCCACCTCAGCCCCAAAATTTTTGGCTATTTATAATTCTTTAGATCTCTCTGTCTCCTCTTTTTATCTTTATCTTGTGAAATTTGTTAAGTTCTTCAGAGTGATAGGATAAAAGCCACTCTATATGTATTTTGAGGATTTAAATCACTATCTCTCAGTCCTGGTGTTTCATTCCATGTTCTTCTAAATATCTGGCATTATCAGCCAGTTGCATGTTAGCAATGACTTGAAAAAAATTGTGCAAGAGATTTACTGAAGTCCCATTTTAATCTGGTAAAGTAGAAACCTATGCACAGGAATACAAACCTATACATAGAACTTGCTTCTGAGTAATTATTCTTAAATTTGTTGTCTATTATATTGCAATCCTTTCAAACCTGGAACTTACTTTTGAGCAGATGTAGGTATTACTGCTGTATAAATTCACTTACTATTTGAGATTACTGCACACATTTGGTGTCGCTTTTCTTAAAAATTACATGATTTTGCCACTGCCAAGTTCTTGGCAATCCAAAAATATGTCTATTCTATTAAGCCAGCAGAAAGCAATTGGAGATATCTCTTATGCACAAATCATTTTGGAGACATTGTATTGATTAACACCGTGGGGGTGTACAGATATAAATCATAGTAATAGACAAGGTTTTCTATGTAGGTGCAAAAGAAGGGGAAAGATGCATAGATACGAATCCACTGTTGGATCTCTGATTAAAGTAGGGATGAATAGGGATGAGTAGGGTGGCTTCCAAATATGGTATAATTGCATCTCCCATCATATCTCGCTAGTGGATATATCGGGTTGAGTTGCTAGAAATATTCAGAAAAAAAATGAGCACATGTTTTTTACTCATTACTGGACAAAGTGGATTCTGGTTAATTCTGAAAAGAGCCCACATTATTAAGCAAAATGTGCTTAATTATAATACAACAGTAATACACTCAGTTAATAAAATTAGTATGGCTTAACAGTGAAAAATCTTGAATAGTTATTGTGAAATTATGTAGTTTGCTGAACCAGGGGAAGATAGTTTTGTTGTTGATGATGATAATGATCTTAAATAGACTTCGGAATTATAGTCAATCTATTTCTTCCTTGCTACAATGCAGTCTAATATTATTCAAAAATATTAGGCTATACAGTACTGTGACTCCCATGACTCCAGTAGCCCAACCACTGGTTGAGAGTTATACCATAGATATACAATATTTCCTCTTGTAGGTATAATGCTGTACATGTAGGTGTCCATTAGATGGCACTGTTCCCATTTTTTTTTTTAAATTATTAGGATCCTACAATTTTTTAGATTGACAGAATGCTCAGGAGCATGTGACACTTGTCTACAACACCTTAAAGCATCTGCTGTTTTTACATTATCCTGAATGCCAAAGCATCTTTTGGAAGCTAAATCCAATCTATATTACAGCCCTATAAATTGCATTCCAACTGACTTTTCTTTAGGGTGAATTGAAGAAGAAACAGTGCATGAATTAATTTATCTGATACTTGGAAACAATACTGTCAGTACTCTTAACACAGTATGAAAAAAAAGATGCTATTGAATTAAATTAGGAATAAAATCAGAAAATTTAAGGGAAGGATGAATCATTAAAGCGAACAAAAATTGAACAAGGGAATAAAGAGCCAGAAATAAAAGTGTAGAAAGATGATTGCAGTAACCTCCTCCATTCTGATCTACTAAGTTAATTTTTTTAATTTAGTAGTAATTGTCACTGCAGAAATTGCTAAAAAAAAACTTAAACGGATTAATAATAATTACTGCCACATGTCTTATGAGAGACAGTATTTGAATCTTTGAATCCTATGGAAGTGAAGAGAGGTTTTCTTTGCGGTGCGTATTGGTTTTTCATCCTTTGAAAACAGGCATTATCACTATGATCCTGCGTGTGATTTTTCAAGTCCTTTCATATTTTCAGTCCTAGGCTTTTCCCTAATCTTTGCCATCACCCTTTTGTGGGAGAGCGACAGAGTAAAGACACTGACATAAGGAGCAGGCCTATAATGTTATAACAAGGATGTGTAAAATTGGGATGGATTGGAGGGAAAATATTGTCTGTTGTTTGGAGAGTTTGTGGTTGGTTTAGCTGTCTTAAATCATTTCAGTGCCATCCATCCATCCATCCATCCATCTTGATCTTTGCAGGCAGTGCGTCTGAATATTTGGAACCATGGGAGTAACTAGCCTGTGGCAGATCCTGGAACCTGTCAAGCAACATGCCCCTCTCTGCAGTCTTAAAGGAAAAACATTAGCTGTTGATTTAAGTCTCTGGGTGTGTGAAGCACAGGCAGTTAAGAAGATGGTGGGAGTAGTCACAAACCCACATCTTAGGTAGGTACAGTGCCTGGGATAATAAATTACTGATATATAATATATAAGATGCATTAACTTCTCTTGGGTGGTTTACAAAATATAAGATATAAGGCATAGTATAATTTCAGTCCGGGGAGTAATGAATTCATTTTACTGTAAAAGGCCCTAAACAAAATTTCAGAGTGCTCATGGAAAAAGATTCTGCATCTGCTAATGCTCAGTTAGTGTGGACTTGGGCCTTCTCTGCAAATGCTGTTAGGATTTGCAATGTGGATTAAATAAGAGCCATGAAGTATCTCATACCATCTTCCAAGAATTTGTCAGGCACGTGTCATTGATACCTTCACCTTTGAAATTGTTTTTTCTAATTAAAAGAATGATTTTGAGGGAGATACAATGGGAGCCAAGAATACATGGAGTTTCCTTATGTTGATAGGGAATATAAGGAAATGTCAATATTTTAGGCATGGGAATAAATCAATTGCTTGTTTGTTAAAATCTAAGATGAGAGATATAAGAGATGCTATTTAACTTTACTCTCTTTCCCGCAGGAACCTTTACTGTCGTGTCTCTTCTTTAACACTAATGGGGATCCATCTGGTGTTTGTCACTGAGGGTGACCTCCCCAAACTGAAAAGCGGCACAGTGCAGAAGAGAATAGAAGCTCGCTTTGGGCCGTTGAGAAAGCCTGAGATCGCAAAAAAAGGGAGATCCCGTTTCAAATCTATTTTGAAAGAGGCAAGCTATCACAGTGGGTTATATTTACAGGATGCTGAGTACTAGCAGTATCGAATTCATACAAGTAGGAGGCATCCATATTTAATATGTTTTATTGAACCAGTGCTAATTTTTGCAGACTTTGTATTGCTTGAGAGCAATTTGGTTGGATTTAATTGGACACGCGCTGCTCTCCTGCCCGTTTCATCATCAAGCCTGGTGGCTTATAGTTTCAGTAGGTTTTGAAACCTGAAGTTCTCTGCTTGTCCTTGTTTTGCTTTGGCTGCAATGCTGATTGTTGCTGATTTTGCTGATTTTATATTTAATATGTAAGCAGAATATTCAGATTACCTCAGAGGGACTTGGGAGAGTATATCTTCACATTTTAGATTTATTTATTTATCACCTATACACCTCCTTTTTACTGCATAAGGCACTCTATACCTTGTAAATGGAATACAGGTAGTTCTCAACTTACAACAGTTTGCTTAGTGACCGTTCGAAGTTACAATGGCACTGAAAAAACTGACTTATGGCCATTTCTCACACTTAAGACTGTTGCAGCATCCCCATGGTCACGTGATTTACATTGGGATGCTTGCCAACTGACTCATTTATGACGGATGCAGTGTCCCGGGGACATTGCAACCTTCTGACAAGCAAAGTCAATGAGCAAGCTACATTCGCTTAACAACTAGGTTACTAATTTAATAAGTGCAGGAATTCACTTAAGAAATGTGGCAAGAAAAATCATAAAATGGGGCAAAACTCACTTAACAAATTTATCACTTAGCAGCATAAATTTGGGGCTCAGTTGTGGTCATAATTTCAGGGTTCCATGTAACACCCCCAACGAAAGAAAACTCAGAGGTTTGAGTTTCCTCAAAGTTCCATTTTATTAGAGATGTCATATTGGCACATCTGGGAAAACCCAAATCTGAAAGCTTCCAGGTTTTCTCCACCCAAAGGAAAGTTCAAGTCCCTGCCCAATACCCACATGTCCATCACGTGGTCCAATCAAAGCACCGTCCCAACTGGAGATGCCTCCCAGTTCCAGCCCTCCAGGTGCAGGGCAAGATGCCCTTGACTCTCTGAGAAAGAAATGTTATTATGACTATATATCACCCTGGCTCCATACAATTCTCAGTTTCCCACTGTAGTAAATGTGGCAAGCCTGAAGGCCCAATGAAAAAGATGACTTCCAGGCCTGACACATAAATTGAAGACTATCCATTTGTCTGAAGTGGTATAGGATTTCCTGCCTGGGCAGGGGGTTGGACTAGAAGACCTCCAAGGTCCCTTCCAACTCCATTATTCTATTCTATTCTACCCGTATAGCCTGTCCCAATTTTAATGCATTTTGCCACTGAAATTTATACCAACATGGTCTTGGCTACCTCAAACATTTTTAGAAAGGGAGGATAAGAGCAGCCATGAGTTGTTCACCCCAATGGTATTTCTCATTGCTTCCTCCATTGGGATTTTTCCTGTTTCAGTGCCTTGAACTGCTGGAGTGCTTGGGAATCCCATGGATTCAAGCAGCTGGAGAAGCAGAGGCAATGTGTGCTTACCTGAATGCAAATGGCCATGTGGATGGGTGCATCACCAATGACGGAGATGTCTTCCTTTACGGCGCTCAAACAGTGTATCGAAATTTTACCATGAATATCAAGGTAATTTACTGGGCATTTTTTAATATATATGTGCTACTTTTTAAAAAAGTGTATTTTTCATTATTTTTTTTAAAGAATAAGCATTAAGTATTTTGAAAGAGAAAACGAAGGAAAGAGAAGTAATAAGTAAGTGGGGTAAAAAAATACAAAGCAGAATGGAGAGAAGAAAGAAGGAAAAGAAAAAAAGGAAAGGAAGATAAAATAAATAGGTATAAAGAAATGGCTTTCAGTCTTCTTAATAGCTGTTTCAAGTACATTTGTATTTTATTCACTATAAGATTACAGCATAATTTTTTTTCTTTCGATAGTCGACACATTCTAAGCAAACCCATGAATCACAAAATCATTTTTTTTCTTTTTGCAGCAAAAAGTCCATAAGGGGTTTTCCAGTCACTCGTAAATGTAGTTATTGGCCTTTTACTAATCAAATAAGTCTATCTTGCTACTTTGATTTTTTTTTAAAAAAAAAATAATCTGAATCTCTTGATAGTCTTTGTCTCTCTCACTCAAGAAAGTATTTTGACCTCACTCCCCATGCCACCACTGTTTACTCTTTGTGACTATAATTTGACATACTCCTGGGAATATGTTTTCAGCTCAGTAGGACTGAATTTCGAATAGACATATTTGTATGTCTTTTCTGTGCCGTGGGGCAGAAGGATTGTGAAATGCTCACCTTGTTCATCCTAAATTGTTGGAATGGATCCCAAGAAAACTTTGATATTCACCTCCTCTTTACAGACACCATGATGTCTGCAAATCATGGTTTGAGAAGATACAGTTTTCCTTAGACCAAGTACTGTATTTTCAAATATATTCAATAATTTTTGTGGTATTACTAGTAAACATAACGAAAAATGATGAAGCATTAAGAGGGAGTGTCACTAACATACTCTATTCTGCACAGGATCCACATGTTGACTGCTACTTGATATCTGATATTGAAGAGAAACTAGGCTGCAGCCGAGAATCTCTGATCGGATTAGCAATTCTGCTTGGCTGTGATTATCTTCCTAAGGTAACTAAACAATCAGTTTAGAGAGATAGAGAGATAGATATAAAGACAGACAGACAGATAGATATAAAGAGATATCGATAGATAGATAGATAGATAGATAGATAGATAGATAGATAGATAGATACAGTAGATCAGTGGTTCTCAACCTGTGGGTCGGGACCCCTTTGGGGGTCGAACGACCCTTTCACAGGGTTCGCCTAAGACCATCGGAAAACACATATTTTCGATGGTTTTAGGAATAATTTTATGGTTGGGGGTCACCGCAAAATGAGGAACTGTATTAAAGGGTCATGGCATTAGGAAGGTTGAGAACCACTGCAGTAGATAGACAGGAAGGAAGGAAGGAAGGAAGGAAGGAAGAAAAGAAAGAAAGAAAGAAAGAAAGAAAGAAAGAAAGAAAGAAAGAAAGAAAGATTGATTATAAAACTTGTTATTGGCATCATTATTTATTTAAAATATTTAGATAGTCACCTAACTTATACTCTCGACAGTTCCCAACCAACGATAAAAACAATATCAATAAAACACATAATTAAAACATAAACACAAACCAAAAATCATGAAGGAGAAGAGGTTCTAGAATCATATTACTTCATTACATTAAACTGTTCCTTATACAGGTTTCCTGTACAATAGATTTATTTTCCATCCACCATGGGGTTTTTTTCATGCCAAAGGACACTTGCTTGAAAGTGATTCTGTACTTGGGGAGGGGGAATGACTGGATCTGAGACCTTCTCTCACCACAAACCAAGAAGCTCAGTTTCTTTGTGGAAGAAATTACATTTCGGTAAAGCTTCCTGCTGGATTCTGTCTGGGTTTTCTTCAGTGTGAAGGGATCTTTTAACCCTTATTGTCCCACTCTGTTTTTTCAGATGATAGGAGGAGTTGACAAAAACAGCCTTCCCAGTACAGGTAGTCCTCGACTTACAACAATTCATTTAGTGACTGTTCAAAGTGACTTATGACCGTTTTTCACAATTAAGACCTTTGAAGCATCCCCGTGATCATGTGATCAAAATTCAGATGCCTGGCAACTGGCTCATACCTATGACCATTGCTGTGTCCCAAGATCATGTGATCATGTGATGACCTGACCAGCTAAGTTCAATGGGAAGCCAGATTCACTTAACAACTTGGTTACTAACTTGTCAACTGCAGTGATTCACTTAACAACTGTGGCAAGAAAGGTCATACAAGGGGGTAAAACTCACCAGATATCTCACTTAACAATAGAAATTTTGGGCTCAATTGTGGTCATAAGTCAAGGACTACCCATATGTGTTTTTGTCAAGTTGACACGGTTGCTCCACTTACATTTTTAGTGCTTACAGTAGCTGCCAGATGTTTAGTTCAAAATATCTTTGTCCTCCCTTTACCCTAGGGCGTAGGCCAATTTGGTTTAGGACTGTTAGCAATCCCAGAAGAGTGCACCAGTTTAAAACTTTCAGCAACACACTCTCCACGTAACAGGTTACATAAGAATATTTCTTGCTAGAAACATTCTTTGCACATTCTTTTTTAAAAGGCATCTTACCTTGACCCTGTCAAAGTGTAACTGATGGCACTGCTTGTGGCAATATATCATTCTTATATCGGTGTGCTTTTGTGGGACAGTATTTGCTTTCCCCTTGAATGTCTTGTGTTATTTTTGCCTGTTTGCCCTTTATTCTTTTAAGTTTCTCTAGAGCTAGGACTCATTGTCTTTCAAGCTGACCTGCTTTACAGAGCTTTTTTTTTTGGTGAACATAAAATGAGAGCTAAGCCGTGTAAGCAAGAGGTGGCGCCGTTACAAGATTGTTGGACTGCAACTTCTTTTCTCCCACAGCATTAGTCATGCTGACTATAAAATATTATTTCAGCAGTATGTAAAGGAGAGCCACATGCTGCCTGCGTCTGAGCCATCTTGAGCTCATGGAAGGATATGTGTAACAAAAGTACGTTAAATAAATAGGGTACCACATGTTTGCAAAGCACTCTCCAATGGTACCAATATCCTTGCAATCAGTCTCAGCTGCAATTAATATTCTTTGACGTGAAACAACATAATTTCTTAGCTAGTCCATGTTTTATTTATTTGGTGATGGGATTTTCTTGTTTGTCGCTACATTTGCTTGCTACTGAATCTTCTAAGGACATCCAGTGTGTTATAACTGATGTGCACACTGTACAGACACTCCACTCCCCTTCCCAGCAGGCACGTAAATTGCCTCATCCAGATGTGGGAGAAAATGCAAAGGGATTAACATAGGGTGTGCCACTTCTCCATTGACTATCCTTACAAGCTTCCCAGCAGCAAAGACTCTGTTGGGGGGAAAAGTGGCGAGGAACGTCAACAATCATCAGTTCCTTCTGGGTTCCCCATCGACTTGTGAGAAACCGTGAGGTAACACTGAAAATGAGGATTACATGGCCATAAAAAAAAAAAAAAAACCACCCAAATTTCATTCCCTTGGGAGTACTGGGTCCTGTATGTTATACAGTAAGTTAGTGCATTTGTGGTATCTTTGTTGACAAAGTTTTGCCCTGTGATGCAAGCTTTCACTCAATTGAAGATGACAAAATATCAAACAGACATGAGGCTTTTATATAGTGTTTAGTAGTATCTATATACTACTGCTTTCAAACGTTGCAACCGTATGGGGAAAACCAGCCTGAGCTCCGGTCTGTTTCTAATAAATGATAGTTGCACAACTGCTGGCCAAATGTGGCAGTGTGGGAAGCTGGGACCTAATGTGTCAGCTTTTAGCATGAGTTAATCCATGGGCTCCCTTTTACAAAAACGAAATGAAAGAAAACTCCCTGTGCCCTCCCCTCGTTTCTCACACAAAATTCTCATGAAGAATTCTTCCAGGATTTTTTGTCCCTCTGTCTCCCCAAACATAATATGGTTGCTTTTTTTGTTTTCCCCTCTACTGCTTAAAATCACAAATGGTCCTTTCGTTTAAGATCAAAGAAAGGCTTTAGCTTCTTTGTATAACACTCTGATTACAGTTTGGGGAGATAGCAGATCACCATTTTCTTCTGAATTTAGCACTTTTACTTTCTGATGCATACAACTGATCTTTGTCTATACAACCTGACCATTCTACTTCTACTCGTCTGATCTGCTGAAGTGGTTTGTCTCTGTTTTTATGTCATTTTGAGTCACACTTGTGGATTTCAAAATTTCAGAAAATTTTACTTACTGAACACATTTGTATAGTCCATGTGTAAAAGATACTTGATCTGTAATCCAACTTTTTAAAAAATCAGTTATCCTGTTAACAGGTGGACATTTTCTCAGTACGATACAGTAATGTAGCTTAAATAATTTGCAATTTATTGATTGATTTGACTTACTGGTATATGGCCACCCGTTCATGAACTGATATTTTACTGTGATTACAGTTAGTCCTCGATCTACGACCACAACTGAGCCCAACATTTCTGTTGCTAAGTGAAACATTGGCTAAGTGCATTTTGCCCCATTTTATGAAAGGTCATATTTTATGACTTTTCTTGCCGCAGTTGTTAAGTGAATCACTTCAGTTGTTAAGCTAGTATCATGGTTGTTAAGTGAACCTGGCTTCCCCATTGACTTTGCTTGTAAGAAGGTCGTAAAAGGTGATCACATGACACCAGGACACTGCAACAGTTGTAAATATGAGTCATTGGCCAAGCATTCAAATTTTGATCCCATGATCATGGGAATGCTGCTACGGTTGTAAGTGGGAAAATGGTCATAAGTCAGTTTTTTCACTGCCATTGTAACTTTGAACGGTCACTAAATGAATTGTTGTAAGTCAGGACTACCTGTACTGCAAAAAAAATACTCACATAAATGGCCACATGTCTTAATGTTTGCCCAATTATTTATGATTTCATAGTTTGAATGAAAGTCATGTAATTTAGAAACAATAGTGTATACTTCAGTACATTTATCTAAACTGTATCAAAATACTTCTTCTCTTGGTTCTCAAAGGGAGTTCCTGGAGTAGGAAAAGAACAGGCTTTAAAGTTGATCAAAACTTTGAAAGGACAGAGCTTACTGCAAAGGTATGTTATTTTTAAATTGTGTTCTGTATTTTCTCCCTTTTCTTTTAGGGAGCAAATTCCTCACACGATTCAGATTCGTAATGTGTGCACGTATATACGTTGCATGCAGAGTTGGGATTATTTCTCAGCGCTATACATTCATCACCATTTCAATATTGTTTTAGATTTGAGTCCTGGAAAGACCATTTCCAATTGGGTGAAGTCCCAGTATCGACAGCTAAAAAACCGCTTCACTGTTCTGTGTGCCATCATCCAGGTGAGTCAGCTCCTAGCTTCAGAAAACATTCCGTGGAAATGTGACCAAGGTCAGGGTTCCAAGTAACACCCCCAACGAAAGAAGACTCCGAGGCTTGAACTTCCTCAAAGTTCCATTTTATTAGAGATGTCATATTGGCACATCTGGGAAAAGCCGAATTTTCCCCACCCAAAGGAAAGTCCAAGTCCTTGCCCAACACCCATATGTCCATCACATGGTCCAATCAAAACACCGTCCCAGCTGGAGATGCCTCCCAGTTCCAGCCCTCCAGGTGCAGGTCAAGATGTCCTTGACTCTCTGAGAAAGGAATGTTATTATGACTATACAGTATATCACCCATGCTCCATACAATCCCCCCTCCAAATTTCCCACAGTAGTAAATGTGGCAGGCCTTAAGGCCCAATGCAAAAGATGGCTTCCAAGCCTGACAACCAGACACTGGGGACGTATTATCATATGTGGTGGACATGTGTAAAAGCAAAGAAATATTGGACAAAAATACATACATGGTTAGAAAAAATGTTAAAGCAACATATAGATTATAAACTTGAAATATTTTTGTTAGGCATAATACCGGAAAAGTATGATAAAGGGAACCTACAGTTGCAAGAAAAAGTATGTGAACCCCTTGGGATTACGTGGAGTTTTGCATGAATTGGTCATAAAATGTGCTCTGAACTTCATCTAAGTCACAACAATAGAAAAACACAGTCTGCTTAAAATAATACTACACAAACATTAGATGTTGCCATGGTTTAATTGAACATAACATGTAAACATTCACAGTGCAGGGAGGAAAAAGTATGTGAACCTTTGGACTTAATAACTGGTTGACCCTCCTTTGGCAGCAATAACCTCAAACAAACGTTTCCTGTAGTTGCAGATCAGACCTGCACAACGATCTGGAGTAATTTTGGACCATTCCTCTTCACAAAACTGTTTCAGTGTAGCAATATTCTTGGGATGTCTGGTGTGAATTACTCTCTTAAGGTCATGCCACAGCATTTCATTTGGGTTGAAGTCAGGACTCTGACTGGGCCACTCCAGAAGGCGTATTCTGGGCTGTTGAAGCCATTTTTTTGTTGAATTACTTGTATGCTTTGGGTCATTATCCTGTTGCATCACCCATCCTCTGCGGAGCTTCAGTTGGCGTACAGATGGTCGTACGTTTTCCTGCAAAATGTCTTGATAAACTCTGAAATTCATTTTCCCATCAATGACAACAATCCGTCCAGGCCCTGAGGCAGCAAAGCAGCCCCAAACCATGATGCTCCCTCCGCCATGTTTTACAGTGGGGATGAGGTTTTGATGTTGGTGTGCTGTGCCTTTTTTTCTCCACACATAGTGTTGTGTGTTCTTCCCAAACAACTCAATTTTGGTTTCATCTGTCCACAGTATATTTTGCCAGTAGTGCTGTGGAACATCCAGGTGCTCTTTTGCAAACTTCAAACGTGCTGCAATATTTTTTTTGGACAGCAATGGTTTCCTCCGTGGTGTCCTCCCATTACTCCATTCTTGTTTAATGTTTTCCTTATTGTAGATGTGTCAACAAAAATGTTAGCATGTGCCAGAGATTTCTGTAGGTCTTTAGCTGACACTCTAGGATTCTTCTTTACCTCATGAAGCATTCTGCGCTGTGCTCTTGCAGTCATTTTTACAGGACGACCACGCCTAGGGAGAGTAGCAACAGTGCTAAACTTTCTCCATTTGTAGACAGTCTGTCTTACCGTGGACACATGAACATCAAGGCTTTTGGAGATACTTTTGTAATCCTTTCCAGCTTCATGCAAGTCAACAATTCTTGATCGTAGGTCTTCTGAGAGCTCTTTTCTGCGAGGCATGGTTCACATCAGACAGATGTGACAGATCTTGAAACCAGTAAACCCAAAACAGGTGTGTGTTTTTAAAGGGCAGGACAGTTGTCAGCAACACATCCAATATCATCACACTGATTGGAGTCAAGGTTGGGTCACTCCTGGATCTAATTAGCTCTTGGAGAAGTCATTAGGCTAGGGGCTCACATACTTTTTCCTCCCTGCACTGTGAATGTTTACATGTTATGTTCAATTAAACCATGGCAACATCTGTTTGTGTAGTATTATTTTAAGCAGACTGTGTTTTTCTATTGTTGTGACTTAGATGCAGTTCAGAGCACATTTTATGACCAATTCATGCAAAACTCCACGTAATCCCAAGGGGTTCACATACTTTTTCTTGCAACTGTATACTTAATATTACATGTTTTGACAGCAACAAGAATTGTATTTGCACAGTACTGGAAAAATGAGGAAACACCTACAGAGGAAGATGTAATTAAAACAATTTTACACTGCAGAAATGGACAGATTCACACTAAAAATAAAAGAAAAAGAAGATACAAAGTATTTTTGAACGTGGGACTTGTTTTACAAATGGTTGGATAGTAGAGGTAGAAATTAGGAGTGGGAACAGTATTACTACGCATAAATAAAATGATCCAGACAATACGTTGTTCATTAAGCACTTATGTATGTAATATGAAAATATATAAATAAACCGTTAAAAAAAAGAAAAGAAAATAGATTCCGTATATTGAAGTCTCCCTTTGAATTGGGCACCCTGGTGTGTAAAGACTGATAGGTTATCATGATGATGAGCTGTGATCACCATCTTCTGTCTGCTGTCTGTCTTCTCATCGTTCCTATCACCCACCTTCTCCCACTTACGGCTGTATGACTGTAATCTTGTTGCTGGTATCCTTAAGATTTATATTGACTGTTTCCCTATGACTATCATTAAGTGTTGTACCTTATGATTCTTGACAAATGTATCTTTTCTTTTATGTACTCAGAGCGTATGCACCAAGACAAATTCCTTGTGTGTCCAATCACATTTGGCCAATAAAGAATTCTATTCTATTCTATTCTATTCTATTCTATTCTATTCTATTCTATTCTATTCTGAAAAGAAAAAAATTACAGCCCCTGGTCAAAGCAGTGTGGTAGAATTGATTTGGACTTTACATACTGTCAAATGCTGCAGCAAACAGTTGGGCTCCTGCATAACCAACAATAAGCTATAGTTTTATGCCTGTCGCCATACAGTAGAATTGTGAATTAACAAGACTTGTTATGCTAAAATGGTATGGAACTACAAAAGTAAACTACAAAAGTAAACTAACAAAAGGTTACCTATGGATAAGTGAATTCTCTCCTCCTCTCATTTGACTCTCAAACTCTGGTTTGCAGAGCAAGCACAAACCCGTTTCAGGTAAAAGAATAAACTTCTATTTCCCTCAGACTAGAAAACGAAATAATATATTATCCAGATGCATGGAAAAAGCTGTGTGCAGAGGCTTCAAATAGTACAAAACTGTAGGTTAAATTATGTTACAAAATGTTTCCTGAGTTGATAACATTCAGATACAGTACTTTGGCAGAAAAATTTAAAGCTTCTCTTTAACTTTGTATCTGAATTATTAGTTAGATTTTCACACCAATCTGAGCCATTATCGTAATTTGTTGAATCTCACGTATGAAATAATAACTCATTGCTAAATCATATATTTGAATGAAGCAGATGTTTATTTATTTGAATATTCTCATAAGTATGGTAAGACTCTTACTTCAGAAAGCAAAGGAACAATGACCAATACAACCCTTTTATTTTAAATATTCTTATTAACATAATTACTATATTTAGTCATATACTCCATACGCTACATCAGAAAGACGACTATTCATTAGCAACTGTTTCAACTGGTCTGGAGGAATAAATGGCCTAGCATGATTTACAAGCTACAGTGGCTACATTTAACAGCATCTGGGCCCAAACCAAGCAAGCCATTATATGAACCCACTTGAGCATTAAATTGAAAAGTTTTGGCTTAACTGGTAACATTTTGCTCTCATAAACAGTGTATTATAATGTAATGGTAGAGTTATTAGACTAAGAGTAGGTGATCAATGTCTAAGCTACCCTCAGCCAGGGAAAGTCACTGAGTGTCTTTGGGCCAGTTACTTTTCCTCAACCTCACCTACCTCATAGAAGAGTTATTGTAAGGGGGAAAGGAGGAGGAAGCACTATATATCCCACCCATCCTAAATCAAACTGGATTATAGGTCAAATAAATGTGTCATCATTTCTTTTGCTTGCACAAGGAAAGGTGCACTTCATTTCTGCCATTATACATACATTATATACATTATAAATATATCACACACACAAAAATGGGACAGATTTGTCTTTTAAGAAAAAGATTTGTCCTGTAATCCTCTTTCCTTTTTCTTGTAGGTTCTTCTAAAGATCATGAGGACATGGGATGTCATATCTGTGGTAGTGTGGGATATTGTGAGCCCCAGGATACTAACTACTGCTGCCCCTGTGACTGGCATTCTTCTGTGTCAGAGCAGCAATGGAGCTTAGTGGAGGAAAGTATTAAAAAGTAGGTGTGCTTTCATATAATTTGCTCTGAATTGCTTCAGGAAGACCTCTATGATATTCATAGATCTGAGATGTGTATATTTTATTTACAGAAAAGCCAAGGCATGTGAAGGTTTTCCCTTTCCTGAGGTAATTTTACAAGTCATGCATGCATGCATAAATCACTTAACCTATAACTATCTCCCTCAAGTGTCTCATTCTATAAATAAGATAAATAATAAATGCCTTAATTTTTTTTCCTTTTTCTCTGCTAAGGTTATCCACGAATATCTCATCAGCAAAGACAAGCCAGTGAAATTAAACGGGTGCCAAAGGCCAAATTTATTATCTTTTCAAGTATGTATTAAGACGCTATACCTTACATGCTAAAATGTTCTCAATATTGAATACAGTTTAGTCCATTAAGACCATCCTTCTCTTGGTAAAGGAAACCAAATTAAAACATCCTCAAGAGATGGCTGTACAGCCTCTGCTTTAAGACATGCAATGAAGGGGAGCTGATCCCTTTCTGGGAAATTGCTTTCAGTGTAGAACTGCATGCTGTTCTACCACATAAACAAGCAGGGATGTAACTGCTATGGTTTGTGCTGATGGAATTATACTGAGGTATGTCAATATCCTCAGTTTCAGGTTTCTAACCAGATACAACATTTGTAGGTCATATTCCAAGATAAGTGGGTTGGAGCAGGTGTCCCAAAACTCAGTGTGATTTCTTTGACCAGAGGACTACTTCCTTAATGTCAACAGTTGAAAGACTGTTTTTGTTCTGTGCCTCTCCTCCTGATTTTCATTTTCAAACAAGATGGCCTTCATACTGCATAGTGTTTTCAGGAGCAAATATTGAAAATTAGAAGGAATTATTTAGGCCCTCAACCTGCTGATCAGGGCAGGAATCTAAATGAAAGCACCTTGACAGATGTCTGTTTAACTGTGCTTTAAAATAACAAGTGATGTAATTAGTTCTATAATTATGTATTCCTTTATTTAAATACTTTATATGGCTGCTCTTATAATCATTAAATAGATGTAGGTCAAAATGAATGGAGTTGGGGATGAAAGGCAAGGAAGTTTAGCTATGGAAGGAGAAAAACAAACTTTGGACAAGCAAAATAACATGGGAGAGAATCCGTTTTAAGGTATCTCTCTGAGGGCTCTGAAACCCACCAGTTTTCAGCCTAACAGGAATAGAATGAAGGTTAGAGAAGAGAAAGTTTTCAGCCAGCCTGAAATTTCTCTGGTAAAAATAACAGCTTTCCCCCAATTCAGATTTCCTGACACTGGGCTGCTATTATTCCTATCGGTACTGACTGTTGTGACCAATTCAGAGGACCTGTGTTTGGGAATACGCTTCAGTTGATTTTGCAGTCTGGTTGTCCTCAGCCCGCTCTCTTGGTTTCCCCCTGCGTTATATTTCTACGTCTACTTGGCTTGGAAATTACTTTGAGGTGGCTGTTCTGTCCTTGTGACATTTTTTTAAAGTTCGTGACATTTCAAACTAAATGCGTCAAGTCTTCAGGGAGAATCAGTGCCGCTGCTGTTCAGTAGATATATTTTCCATCTTGTGCTGCATTTGTGATTTCCCAACATGTTTCAAATAGAGGTTTGCTGTCAAGAAAATGAACTGGACCGAGCAGTACGCCTGTGAGAAATTGTGTAGCCTTCTGACTTACTATGATATGAACAGAAAGAAGTCTGGCCATACTGATCCAAAGCAGCTGCAAGCCCTGCGGTAACTCAATTTATAATTTAATTAGAATTCACCCTTTGCTTTGCTTTATATCTGTCACTGGAAGTGGAAAATATTTTTGTTCTATGCCTCTCCTCCTGATTCTGCATTTTTCATTTTCGAACAAGATGGCCTCCATACTGCATAGTGTTTTCAGGAGCAAATATTGAAAATTAGAAGGAATTATTTAGGCCCTCAACCTGCTGATCAGAGCAGGAGTCCAAATGAAAGCATCTTGACAGATGTCTGTTTAACTGTGCTTTAAAACAGCAAGTGAGGTAATTAGTTCTATAATTAGTTCCTAAAACCATCTCTCCCTTTGTTGTTGGTTGTTGCCTTAGTCCAGGAATGCCACCTGTGGAGTTAACATGCTGTTAATATAGCTAAGACTCCCTGGTGTGTCTGTTGAAATACATTACATAGATTCAAGAAAAAAATATTCCACAATTCAAAACAGCATTTGAAACTGCTGAGGGTTACAGTTCAAAGATTAGAAATTCTACAGTATCAACATGAGTTTTTGGATTCTGGCCCATTTTCCAAAATACTGCTAAAGAAAGCAAGGTAAAGGCTGCTGTCCATAGTAATCCCAACAGCGAGATACACTGAGCAGGAAAGTACATCTAAGGGGACCTCAAAGAAGAAGCCCTTCATCTAGCACTAGCAATAGCACTTAGACTTATATACTGCTTCATAGTGCTTTACAGTACTCTCTGAGCAGTTTACAAATGTCAGCATATTTCCCCCAACAATCTGGGTCCTCATTTTACCAACCTCGGAAGGAAGGAAGGCCAAGTCATCCTTGAGCCAGTGAGAATCAAACTGCTGGCAGTCGGCAGAATCAGCCTGCAATACTGGATTCTAATCACTGCGCCACCACGGCTCTATCTGTAAGGAAACACAGAGCACAACTCATATCCTGCTCGGCCATGTGAACTAACATAAATAATCATCCTGAATGTGTGGGTTGTGGCTATCATCCATTGCCTTATGGAACACTGATCTGAGGTACTCTTAAAATGACATTTACAGAACGTGGAAAGAAGTGCAAGTTAATGGTAGTCAGGTTTTAAGTTATCAACACTGAATAATGCAAAGATAATAATTGCATTGTCTCCGTGTTTCTAGGGGCATCCTACGCAAACCAAGCATATGTGAACCTTTTCTCTATGATGCTCTCTCACGCTTGTTGACACACATTGCTACAACTGTATAGTCCTCATGATTATGAGAGAGCTATAGCTGACTATATATATGTGTGTGTGTGTACATATATATATATATACATATATACTTATACATATACACATATACATATATTTGTTTTCTCAGGTTTTCGCGGGTGTTTGTATGTAGGTCTTTGGTTATTCGGGTCTTCTCCCACGTAAAATTGGAAGTGTCTTTGCTCCTGGAAGCACGAAGCCGAGAACACCAGCCTGAAGATGACGAATGAGACTTCGTCGAAACGTCGCCAAGACACTTCCAATTTTACATGGGAGAAGACCCGAATAACCAAAGACCTACATATACATATATATATATATTTACAGGGAGGATACATGAGATGTGGGTGTGGCTTACTGATGAAGGCTAACGAGCTGGAAATAGATCTATATAAGTCTCTCACCTGGCAGCAGAAACTTACTGGCTGCCAGAAAAGAAAAAAGCCCAGCAGTTCGAAAACACGTAAAAAATGCAAGTAGAAAAATAGGGACCACCTTTGGTGGGAAGGTAACAGGGTTCCATGTGCCTTTGCTGCTTAGTCATGCCGGCCACATGACCATGGAGACGTCTTCAGACAGCGCTGGCTCTTCAGTTTTGAAACGGAGATGAGCACTGCCCCCTAGAGTCGGGAACAACTAGCACATATGTGCGAGGGGAACCTTTACCTTTTTTTTATAGCTGACTAGGATTGATTAGGAGACAAGAGAGAAATGGTACATGTTTTCCTCACACAATTGTATGGTACTCCAACTCATGGGAATAGCTACAAAATGGTAAAGAACCATGGAAGCAGCCCTTATCTGCAGGATGGTCAAACATGGTGGCTTCTTAAATGCTTGATTTCATTTTTACACACTGTCTTTAAAATATTAGAACATTCTTAACTTTTGTTTCTACAGGATAATCAAGACACGGATTAGAAATGGAATTTCCTGTTTTGAAATTGCATGGCAAAAGCCAGGTTAGTACTCATCACTGGGTATACTGGAAGGGTACTTTCCAGTACAATTTAACACTGGAGTACGAAATCTCTTAAGAGGTGGGTGTGTTGAGAAATAGAAATATAATACTTCTTCATGTATAGTACAGGTAGTCCTCGACTTACATAGTTTGTTTAGTGACCATTCAAAGTTACAACAGCACTGAAAAATGTGATTTATGGCCATTTTCACACTTACAACTGTTGGAGCATCCCCATGGTCAAGTAATTAAAATTTGGTCGCTTGGCAACTGGTACATATTTATGATTGCAGAGTCATGTGATCCTCTTTTGCAACCTACTGACAAGCAAAGTCAGTGGGGAAGCCAGATTCACTTAATCATCACGTTACTAATTTAACAACTGCAATGATTTACTTAACAGCTGTAGCGAGAAAGGTCGTAAAACGAGGCAAAACTCACTTAGCAAATGTTTCACTTAGCAATATAAGTTCAGCTGTGGTGGTAGGTCAAGGGCTACTTGTATAGCCTATGCACAAACATATCTTCTCGTTTCAGATTATTTTGCATGTGTCGTTACGGATATTAGTTTAAATAGTTACAATCTTTTGTGACAAATTTACAGTGAAAGACAAATTTATCAGTTAGCATTCAGTATGATATTGAAATCTCTCACTATCTGAAGCTTGGGGAGAAGATTTTTCTTCACAACAGCTTTTAAAGATGGATTGGGCTGAGAGAGAATGACTGGCCCAAAGTCACCAATAAAGGGTTTCAGTTTTTGTCCTTTCAACATCAATCCAACCAGAGCCAATTGTAGATTTCTGCTAGAAAGCAGGAATCTGTGAGTTCAAGTCCTGCCTTAGCCATGAAAGCCAGCTATGTAACTTTGGGCCAGTCACTCACTCTCAGCACAACTCACCTCACAGGGCTTTTATTGTGGAGTAAACAGGAGGAGGAAAATGTGTTTTTTATGCTTGAGTTCTTTGTAAAAAATAATAAAGGTGGGATACAAAGAAACAAATATATGAGAGCTGTTTAACAATGTGTAGATATTAAATTAAATGAAACTATCACAGAAATAAAAACACAATACTGACAAAATTGGATTTGGGAGTCTTTGTTCTCCATAAAATGTCTGCTTTGAATTTAAATTCACATAGGAATTCTGGCTTTGCCCCTTTCTTGGTACAGGTTTCTGTAGCCAAGTAACCCCAGGTTCACTTTCTTTAGATAGAACTGTGAAATTTTTCCTTCTAAAATTTTTGAGACCATCTGCCAGCTGACAATGAATGACCGATCTGACTTTTTATATGAAAATTTCATATGCCGAATGGAAAAGGACAGCCACTTAAAATGAGAATTTATTTTTCTCGGTCTCCCAGGCATACATTACGTGCCCTGTACATTGTACAGTTACAAGGTAATTTCTCATAAGGCAAAATCAGTCTTCCATCATGCTGTAGGTAGGGTGCGCAAATATGACTGTGAAGAATTCGTCAAAACACAGGGACAGATATTTGTGGATTGCATGTAAATTAAGGAGAGTCTGCAGTAAGGGTTAGACATGGGAGCCTCAGTTCATAACCAGTTCTGCAGGATACAGATTCCAGTCCCAAAGAAACAGTTATTTTATATGTTCTTTTTTCTAAAGGATTGAGTATGAAAATGGTAATTAAGGGAATCATCTGTAGTTATCTAGTAAAGTATGTTTCTCTGCCTCTGCTTCATTTTTCCAGATCATTACTCTGCTGCAACTGAGGCTCAGCCTGCAGATCCTTTTCTAATAACAATAGAAGAGTCAATGCTATTTGAGGCTGCTTATCCTGAAGTGGTTGCTTTGTATCAAATGGAGAAGTTGAAAATTGGCAAAGAAAAAAAGAAAAGTAAGCTGAAAACACTGCATGTTTTGTTTTATTATGTTTTATATTTTAAATATTCACTAGATGCTTGTCAAATTGCCAGTTGTTCTATAGAATTTTCTGTACCCTAGTTAGATTTTAATGAAGCCATTTAGCTTACCCACTTCTCCCACAATTGTCTGATTACAAAAACAAAAACACAGTGCTTTTCTAACTTCATTTCTCATTTTGAAAAATAGTTTTTAACAAGACGTTCTTAACATTTGTTGTTGTTGTTGCCTTAGGTAAGAAGAAAAGTAAAGTGAAAGAATGCTTAGCAGGGGACAGCAAAGTAGAAGATACTTTTTCTGACCTGAACTTGCAACCTGCATGTGAAAACATTCTCACCCAAGTTTCAAAATCTGATTTGAGGCCTGTTTTTGATCTGCAAAAATCTCCAAAAAAGAGCTGTGAATCTCTCAGTTCTTCAGACTCTGCAGATTTTTCTACTTTGTTAGGAAAGCCAAGCAACTTCTTTTTGGCTTCACAGAATCCAGAAAATGAACATAAACCTTCTAATTCTTTAATCTCACAAACAAAATTATTTGTTAAGGAGCCTATGGCTTATTCTGCAAATACTGATCTGCAGCTGAGTGGCATTGACTGGGAAGGAACATCCTTCAGCATTTCTCCAAGAAATGTTAATCTTCCTTGGTATTCAGAATCTGAGTTTGGCCTAGGCAATAATTCTTTAAAGCAGTGCTCTCCACCACACAGTAAAGCAGCCAATATCCTCACGCAGCATTCAGATTCTGCACAACACAATCCCAATCTGATCACTGCTGTAGATTACTCTACTTCAAACACAGGCTTTCCTAAAGAGAAGAATGATTTGTCTTTAAAAGATCGAGCTGCTATGGAAAGTTTGGAAGCTTTCCCCAAAGCTAAAAGTGTGCCTTTGTTAAATGCTGCACAATTGCAAGAACAAATAAAGAGAACTTCTAACCCTGGAGGGGAATTTTCATCTCCTCTTGACAGCATTCAGGAAATTGAAAATGTGATGTTACTAGAAAAACATCTGCAGGGGCTAAGTTTAGAGAGCTATAGAGAAGATCTCCAAAGTTATAAGGACCCACCAACTGCAGCATATAAAGTCAAGGACTCAGGAAGTTCTTTGAGGCAGTGCACTGAAATTCTAAAAGTGAGTCACTTAGAAAACAAACAGCAAATTTTGCCCTCTAGATCAAATAAAGTGCTAGATAACTGTCAGATCGGGGAAAAATCTGTGCCAAGAATCATGAAAAGCTCCTTTAAGAAGAGTGTGTGCCAAAATGGTTATCATGCCGAGGACAGTGATAGTGAAAATGTGGAGGGCAGTTGGAAGGGTCATAGGATCCCAAAACAACAAAGAAAGAGTCATATGGTTCAGTTGAAGGACAAGTGCAATGGCAAAAGGGACAACAAGAAATTGGCATTTGAGATTCAGCCAGAACCAAAAGGGAAAGTTGAGCACGCTTTTAAAGTACTCAACACTAATTTGTCCACAGAAGAATGTCTGCTTCTACCTCTCTCCAAGTCTCCAAGTATCTCCAAATGTGGATTCGATCCTTGTCTTCAGGAGACCAGAAGTAATCTGAATATGTGGCTTGAGAGTCCGTTGCCTCTGTCTGAAAGGCTGAAGCACAGATTGAAGAGCAGTTGAGCATTTCCTGTTCCCTTCTCTCTGATGTCTTCATCTGGAAACATCTCAAATGTCTTGATAGGTTTTAAATATCCTGTAAATTTAATACGTCCCATAACTGTGAGTGATAGAAGATTGAAAGAAGTATCTGAAGTGAAATGATTGGTAAATTAAATTCTTCAAGCAACTTTTCTGTAGTGACTTGCTCTAATTTTGATTAACAGACCTGTGAATTGAGCTGAAGTTTTCCTAAATAATTTGCTTGAGTGATTGCATCAATCATACCACAATAGCATGAACTCAGGAATAAATACATAATAATGTTAGGGTTTTTGCAGAGTATAAAATATGTAACGACTTGCTGATCAATGACAGTGGCAAAGCTACTGACATTTTTACACAATCAGATTGGTGTTACCATAGTATATGTTTTTATATAATTTTGCTGTAGATTTTCAGATCCAAATTAAATAATGCTCTAGATCAGGGATGTCAAATTCACGGTGTCACGGTGGCATCACGTGACATTAGGACTTTTTCCCTCTTTGCTAAACCAGGTGGGGGTGGGGCCAGCATGTGATGCATCTGGCCTGCGGGCCGCAAGTTTGACATCCCTGCTCTAGATTCAATCTTGGAGTCAATCCCTACACATGCAACACAGTTAATTACCAGAATTATAAAGTGGTAAAAAAAAATCAATTTAGAACTATGCCTGTAAGATACCTTTAAAATTAGAAATCTAATTTATTGGAGAGGGCTGCTCCAATCTAGTAGTTTATCGGCTCATTGTTTTCTCCTTTGACCAATTTTCTAACTTGGTATCATATGGTCTTGGAATCATAATGATTTTCATTTGTAACTATATATAATTCGGTTTTTAAATAGACTTTCATATAGACTTTTTTTTTTTTAATGCAATGCTTTTCAATAGTAGTAGTTTAAATGAATTAATTAGACACAAATACTTTGCAACAGTATTTATGTAATGACTAAAGTCAAGGGGAATTTGTCTCCGTAAATAGTTGTGTTTAAGAGTGCAGTCTTTTAAAATATTGTATTTGTAACATTAGTGATTTTCTCTGATTCCAGATATTGTATTGTTTCTAATCTTGCTTAGATCAAATTTTTGACTTTGGTAGACAAGCTCTGTATTTATTGGTAAAATGCATACTTTCCATGCCAAAATTATGCGCTTTACTTCAGGCTGAAATGACACACCCCCCGCCCCCCAATGGCAGTTCTGGATACCCATTATTGGTCAAGAGACGGCACTTGAGCGAACAGTCTTGGCACAATGCAACTCCTAATAGTGATGGTGATCAGATCAAGGTGCAAATCCTATCAATTTTCTAACATATAGAATTGAAAGAAGTGCATCTTGTTGGGTGATTGTGGTTGTTGATTCATGAAAAGGGTGAAAACATTAATTCACACGGTTGTTATTTTTTTGCAATAGAATTGTAGATGCAAGTGGCATTCTAATCTACATATTTACTTTTATTTTTCACAATATACGGTCACATAAATTATTAAAAAGATGCAGAATCTGATTTCATATGTTGTACTATGCGGTCACCTAATTTGTCTGATTTGGTTTTAATGCAATCTATAAAGCCAGACATTGTGGTTTGTAAAATATTATGTACAGCTTAGCATGTGAGTGTAGCCATTTCTAAGTCTGTTCTATAAATCATGGTTAAGACAAATGGCTAAATGTGACAATCGTAGCCAATTTGCAAAATTGTTTGAGCCGCTTTGAATTTCCACTTACTTCAGTAGAATGGCTGAAAATATTCTGAATTCTTTCTCACTGAAACGATGAGAAAGTACTCAAGTATAGCTGAATTATGTCCCAGATTCACAAAACTAATTCCAAATTCATATGGTTTTTTTTCTAAAATAATGTAAACGTATCCTTGTAATATGACATGGCATAGTTCAGGAATCTACTCCCTTGCTGTGTGAAACAAGGCCGTTGGAAAAAATAACTACAGAAACCTTTTTCTATTTAGTTGTGACACAAGTGTTGGCCTGAAGTGGGAAGAAAAAGATAAAATCTGTTCCCTATTGTTTATCCTATAGGTTTGCAAATTGCAGTGATACAGCAATGCAGAAGTCAGTATATCCCCTTCTAAATGTTCATTTTCCCTCATAGAACATTTTGTGTCCAGATCCATTCTTGCCATATTGTATAGAATTTTTCCTCTTAAAATTACATTATAATGTTATATACACAGTTGGAAATCAAGTACTACCTGACACTCTTAGGAGGTGTAGTTGTGTAAATGTACTGTATCTAAGTCTTTAGGTTTATTTTTTAGGCTAGAAACTAGAAGATCAGGAGTTCTAGTTCTGCCTTAGGCCCAAAGCCACCTCTCTCTCAGTCCTAGGAAGGAGAAAAGGGCAAACCATTTCCACAAACATTACCCAGAAAACTGCAGGAGCTTGTCTAGGCAGGCACAACACTGAGGTATAGCCATCACATTTCTTGTTGCCTTGTTTTCCATCGCTTATCATATTGGCAAGTGATCCAACTTAATGAGTTTAAAGTGTTTTTATTGCCAAAATTTTATAACAGGGCCATAAATGCCTTGTATCAAGGAAATACAACTCAAAAAACACACTGCATTTATGAGCCTGCCCTGTTTAGATAAAAGAATTAAAGTAGTGTTTATTATTGTCATTTGAATCTCAGACGGGCCGACCTTATAACAAGCAAATCACCAAAGATGTTCAAAAAGATGTGATTTTTATACTCTAGAAACCTCTTTCTACGATGGAATTAGAAAATATATAGAAAATATGCTGATAACATTTTGGAACATCACTTTGGGATGAAGTCCCAATAAAAATGAATGGATTTTAGTGTATGAACATAAATATGACTATTTAATTCTCATTAAAGCAATTAGCCTAAGACTGTGCAATATTGTTTCAAGTTCAAGTAATCATTTCATGAGGAATACAATACTCCCCTGCAAAAAAGAATGTTCTTTTTACATTGGAAATATCAATATGAATAAATCCCATGTCATCCCAACCATTTGTGTAGGCTAAATTTGTACAGCCAAATATTTAGCAATAAAGCAAGAGGTACAAATGTAGATTTCATAAATCTGTCAAAGTGTTTGCTGTGCACATTAGACCGCAAAATATTTTCCAACGATTACTGCTATTGAAATTATTAAAATATATCTTCAGGGGGAAAAGGAAAAGAATTGGACACATATCTTTCAACCTAAAGCTATACCAGTTGTCTTAAATATGCAAACAGTCGGCTCCACTTTGTATTTGAATATGTTACATCATCCATATTCCTTAGCAATTCATAACTATATAACGTAAAGTTAAATATATGCTAAATAACACATCATTCTTTGTAATTGTATACATTATAAAAATTGCTGTGCACCTTTTTATTGAAAACAAAACTTTGCAGAAGAATTAATCTTAGAAAGCAGGAGACCAAAATAACAAATATTTTCTTAACATGCCAAGAAAACTTCTCAATGAATTTCTTAACCCAGTTTAACTCAGTTTTGTCGGGATACAAATATAAATAAGTCTAGGACAAAAAATATCAATTGTTAAATGCCTATGATTTTTTCTTTTATTGTACAGGTACATGATTTTAAACTGTAAATTTTGTTGCTCAACAACAAAGGAAAGCTTGAATAAAACTAACATAATAGCTGCCTCCTCATTTAAACAGTGATAGAAATACAAAGTATTTGTTTCCTGCAGAGCAAAGTGCTAAATCTAGCACTGTGTTTTACTGTTCACCAGTAGCACTTAGTCTATAACAGATCTAGTAATATTGCTAACTGCAGTTTCCTTTCATCTGTTGATGCAGAATAGCAGGGCTTCACACTTCCTTAGACATGAAAAGATTTTTACCTTGACTTGTGACACCGCCTCCATTAATCTTCCACTTTTTATTCCAACCGTGCTAATGCTAAAATTCTCAGAGATGGCTTCAAGATAACCTCTTTATAAGTAGAAATTGGTCAGGGGAAGAAGAAAAAAATATCACAAGATTGTTTTTCTGTTTTCAAATTTGAACAACTTGTAGGTTATTGTTTTTTAAAGTGATGGTCATTTCCTTTAAAAGATATATACAATAAATATTTTGCTAGTTGCCTATTCACTTACAAATCAAATGGTTTATCAGAAGACTTAAGAAACTGCAATTAGATTTCTTTTTGTACCAGTGCAACAATAAGACACCAATACACAAATTCCTTCCATAGGAAGGAAACAAAGGATCAATTGCTCAAAAAGCAATTTCAGATTTATTGTTTGTTGAGAACAAAAATGCCTGTTTCTAGGATTGGTTTTCTCCTCTATTTTAGAACAAAACTATAAAAAGAATGGAAATGGATCAAAATCATGGGAAGTATGATGTGGGCAGTACTGCAATGATGTGTTGGGATATGGGTAACATTAAAAGCAAACTAATTTTGATACACACACACACACAGAGGTACATCAATGTTAATGTCAGTGATTCCCATGAGAGTGCCATCAAAACAGCAGGAGAACCTACACAGTCAGGCAATGAAGGCTGGACTTTGGGGGACAAAGACGAAGTCTGCATAACCCCTAAAATAATGAAGGCACAAACATTTCATGCGGCTGACATTGCTCAACAAAGGTGCTTTTCAAAATGCAACTGGACTTTCTTGGGGTTTTTTTCCTTGAAAATTTTCCCTTGGATGAGAAACAAAAACGTTTTTCGGGGGGGGGGACAAGAAAGTCCAGTTACCTTTTGAAAAACAGCTTTGGGACAGCCATGACCTGAATGACTGAGAATCTCCATAGACACATTGCTCAACACCATATCAAGGTTTTAACAATATCAATATCTACAGAATTATAACTATTCCTTTCATTTATCTAGAGATTACCATAAAAACAGTGTTCATTCACAAGTAAAATGTGGGGTTATTTAAGGAAGAGCCTGAATGCCAAATTATCTCCATTCTTAAGTAATTATTGATCATATAAGAATGCACTTCACATTGCCACTACAGTATTTTTCACACCTACTGCATGGGATCTAGTTTTCTGCATCCCATATGCCCTTAAAAATCACACTCATTTCTCAGAAGAATCACTAAGCAACTTTAACTTACCAATAAAGGAGAATATTTGTAGCTCAGGGTTGAAATGAGGAGTCCTTGGTGCACTCTGAGCTTGCTTGTTTTCTTGTAGACGTTTCATTACCCTAACTAGGTAACATCATCAGTGCTAGTAAGGAGCACTGATGATGTTACCTAGTTAGGGTAACGAAACATCTGCAAGAAAACAAGCTCAGAGAGCACCAAGAACCCCTAACTTTAACTTAGCAAATTTAACATTGCCTCCGCATTGTGCTCTCCTCTCTAGCCAGTTCAGCTGAATGAATTTCCAAGCAATGAAGATGCTGCTGAGGCTCCCCCTCCTCTGTTTGGTATAGTATAGATTGAGTTGGAGCTGAGATCACAGCATATATGCTGGTAGAGGAGAAAATTACAGATACACAGAGGTACACAGACCTCTAAAATTATTGATCTGGGGGTCCTACATAATGATATACATAAACAAGCCAGTAAAAATGAATTGGGATTTCTTCTTGGCATGCATTATAACTTTGGGGGGGGGAAGGATTATACTGCAGATGTACCCCAGTTCCTTAGAAAGCATCTTATCCCAGAGCCATAGCTGGAAAAGAAATACTAGCTAGATTTTCTTTTAAAAAACCCTATACTGTGTGGAGGTAATTGAGAAACTATATATAGATGTCTTAAATGTGAAAGTGAAATGTGTTTCATTTGTAAAGATATCTTTAAAGAATTATATCAGTAGATGTACATTCATGGTTACAGAGATTGCTTTTAGCTATATTAGATGATTCAATAAAATACACCAGGAGGAACTTTAAAAAAATCCTACCTCTATATTTCATGGCATTTTGGAAATGGATAATATACTTTAATATAAAATACAGTCTTCCTTTACAGTTTAATACCTATGATGATTGTCTTTTCAGCATTTGATTCCTTCATCAATTGTCCCAAAAAGCTATTGATAGGTGACTTGACAAATTTAGGGAGAAATAATTCTTGACTAATAGACTCCCATCCTATTGTCTGACTAAATTGGGAAGGCAACAACTCTGAATAGGCGATAAATATGTTGTCTTTGGCCTTTCCTTTTCAGCCTGCTCAACCTAATTTGAGTCTTTGGCACCAAGGTGTTAATGCAAGGTTTGTTCTCTTCGACATGATGGCAGGTGATTTGCATTTCAGAGTCTGATAGATTTATAGTCTTTGATCTTTTAACCAGCTCACAGCCATGAAAAGAACAGTTCCTCTTCAGAGCAACCCTGCAAATCTGCATTCAGCATCCCCAAGCATATTTATTAGGTAATTATATCGGGGTCAACATTTATTTCCCATTCAGTAATGTAGGATTACTAGCAAATCACAATCCTATGTGTTTTTAGGCAAAAATAAAAATGGAATTATAAACATATTTTACTACACTCCAAAGGGTCTACTTCTGGTCTAGTCTTTCAGTGAAAGGTCCTTTATAATTAAGAGGTAATTATGCATAACATTGCAAAATTAAGATGATTTACAGCAAACAAAAGAACAATATTATAAATAATAAAATCCTCCAAGAAATGCATTGAGATAGAATAAACCACACAAGCAATACTTAAACCATTTCCAAGCATCAAGATCAGAAGTGATACTACCGCACTTGGAATATTACATCCAACTCAGGTCACTGTGCTTGAAAAAAAATGCTAAGGCCCTAGAAAGAAAAAGCAACAAAGATGATAAGGGGTCTGGAAATTAAACTGATGAATGGCTAAAGAAATTAGGTATGTCTAGCTAGCTTAACAAAGAGAAGGCTTACGGGTGATATGATAGCTGTCTGCCATGACGGTCTGTCACAGATAAGAGAGGGTCAACTTATTCTCCAAAGCACCTAAGGGTAGGGAGAAGAAGCAATGGGTGGAAGCTTGTCAAAGAGAAATGTAACCTGGAACTAAGGAGAAAGTTCCTAATGGAGAGAACAATTAATCAATGGAACAACTTGCCTCCCAGAATGGTGGGTACTCCATTGCTGGAGGTTTGCAAGAAAAGATTGGACAACCATTTGTCCAGGATGGTATAAGGTCTCCTGCCCTGAGCAGGGAGTTAGACTAGAAGACCTCCAAAGTCTATTCTATTCTATTCTATTCTATTCTATTCTATTCTATTCTATTCCATTCCATTCCATTCCATTCCAATGTCATAAAATATATAGTGCCAGTACTACACTCTTTCTAATATTTGCAATATCCACTTAAAGGAGATGTTTTGCATGGGGGTGGGGTGGGGGCTTCCTTTGAGATTGACGCAGAGTTTAAGTCTACCGGAGAACAGAGAATAATGGTCTTGAGCCTGGTAGTAGGATTTGATCAGATCATATCAATGTTGAGGAAGCTACTCATGCTGAACTATTTAAAGCTGTGCTAAAAAAATCCTTATTTTGAACTGGAATGTTAATCAGGCATTTTATAAGTGCCAGTGCATTCTGTATGTTATCAGAGGGCATATAGAGTAAAGAAAGAATTTTTTATTACTGTATCTATTCTCTAACTTTCATCAAGTATCATGAGATGCTCTGGGTTCCGTCCTTTGAGAGTATTATCTGGCACAACCCAAGGTTAAACACGCCCCAGTCCTGCTGGCCTTTTGTAAGACCTGGTTTGTTAGAGACTGGGTTGTAGTTGAGCCCATTTCATGGTTGTGTTGTTAAAAAAATACTAACTTATGTATATGTTATTGATTGTTATAATTTTCAAGTATTGTTTTAAATCATTGCCAGCTGTCCAGAGTCATGTATTTCAGATGGGCAGGTACAGTATATAAATAGAATGAATCAAATCAATCAATCAATCTTTGGCATCTTTTGAAGATATATCTCTGTGCCAGGCCTGCCTATTGGTTGATAAAGCTTTGTTGATTAGTTTTATTAGCTTTATATTAATTATTTTATTATGCATTCTTCAATGCAATTTAAAATGTTTTAAAGTGTATTGGGAACCTAAAGTGTATTGTAGAAAGCAGGACATTGTATGTCTATACCTGAAAAGATTAGCATTTCTGCCTCAACCTCATAGAATAATCCAAAAGATGCTTTTGATTCTATTTTATTCCTTCCCTCTTATTATGCACCCATCTTACATGATCATCTACTAAATATTCCTATAAATCTCCATAAACATTTCCAAAGTCCTGCAAGATTTTGCAAGTAAAGTTTTTCCAGCATCTGGAGAACTGGGATATGTTCTCAGTTCTACTATATATATATATACTGATATATAATGTTCTGCAGAGGGGGAAAAGTGCTACTGGGCTAGATAAGCCAAAAATTAGGGTAATTTTTGGCTTATCTAGCCCAGTAGCACTTTTTTTTTTCCCTGCAGAATTTCTTTCAAAGTATGCTGCTGGGACATTTCGCCTGCTAATATAGTTGATCTTTGAGCACTATATGTGTCTCTGACATTTCAATTCCATTTTTTAAAAGAAACAATTGCATGCCCACAGTCTGATATGCGACTTCATCAAAGCTTGACAGATCAGGTCAAAAAGAATAAAGTTCAGTTTTCCCTTTCTCTCATTTTTTGTCCCTTGCTGACAATACAATATTAACATTAACAAACTGCCTTTCGTAGAAAATCAAGTTTGTAGAAAAAGATAGAACTTTCAGATAGAGCTGTGCTGCATAAACCTGAATGACCAAAGGAAGGCAGCAAAGCAAAGATGCAGTAGTTTTTCTGCATCTCTTTGCTACCATCTACTGGTCATTTGAATTTGTGGAGCCTAGATGTCATAACCTTAAAAGTAACTATGCCGTTTGTTTCCAAGTGCAAACACAAGGTCTGATGAAGAACTTCTGATTATTCAATCCAAATTTTGATAAAACATTTAATTTCTGCAAGGAGAAAGAGCAGGACAAGTAACACCTGAGCCACAGAGGCTTTGCCCATTGTAGCCAGTGACTGCTGGTTAAACCCAAAGGTGCTTTTAGGCAACTGGACTTTCTAGTTTTTCTTTGAAGACGTTTCGCTTCTCATCCAGGAAGCTTCTTCAGCTCTGAAGATGTTTCGCTTCTCATACAAGAAGCTTCTTCAGCTCTGAAGAAGCTTCTTGGATGAGAAGCAAAATGTCTTCAAAGAAAAACCAGAAAGTCCAGTTGTCTCTTGAAAAAGCACCTTTGGGACAACCATGACCTGGATGACTGAGAATCTCCATAGATATTGTGCTGGTTAAAATTTTGTAAGCTGTAGTACCAAACAGCTGGAGGAAATCAGTTTGAAAGTGAGACACCAACCAGATTCACAAAAAACCAGATGGATGAATAATGGCAAGTTGTGTTGTTCCAATGAGACTCTACTGACGTTTATGAAACTCAAGGCAGAAGTCAGTTTTAGAAGCCATCCAATTCCAGGGGAAATCCCAACTGTCCAGCATGAAAATATCAGATTCATTAGATTCATTTGGAAACCTATATTTCTTTAAATAAAAAAATTGTTACTAATAGATTACAAAATTGAACCAGTCATCAAGTTAGCTCCTGGAGCTGATAAGAAAGATCTCTAAAATGCATAAAAGGAAAAAAAATATTCCAAACTTGAAGTGTCATGTTAAAAATAAATGGATGACAGATGTATTTTAAAATGGTACAGAAATAAAATTACCCAGCAATAACTTACTGAAGCTGTAGAACTATGGAGAAATCACTGTTTCTTTGATGAAATAATCAGCATAAAATAACATTTTTATATTAAGGGAAATGGCAGTCATGGGATATTGTCTGCTAAGTTATTGGTTCTGGCAATGAAAACAGCTTCACATATACTGTTCAATTCACACCCCCTGCAATTTTCCAGCATCTAATGTGTTGTGTACATTCAGCAGGTGGGGGGTGGGGGGGACCGTTCCTTAATTCTTGCAAATAAGTGTAGAATAGCCTTTGGGACTTGGCTCATCCATGCCGGTGCCAATGCTCGTTCCTTATGTCCATTGAAAAGATCTCTAGAACCTTCTGCTTTTCAGCCTCAGATATTCCCACCATAGAAGCCACCCCTGAAAGAGGCAGCCACAGGTTGGAATGATAAGCATGCAAGAGCCAGACTCAGGCTAACTCAGACTGGGTTCCCAATGCTACCTTTGGTTCCTGAAATTATGTCCTATTGTTGTTAAGAAAGAATAACAAGAACTGGTTTACCTAAAGATTGCTGCTCGAGTTTACGACTGGTAGAGGTTAAAATGTTAAATCACTCAAATATTGCCATATGCTAAATAAAATAAAATAAACTATTTGGGTTGTATTAAAAGAGAATGAATGAGCTAATCCATCAGAGCTAGCTTTTTAAAAAAATAAAATACTCATGTTACTGCATGCATAAGCATCGAATCCCATTTATCCAAGTGCATTCAATTTACAGATTTTTGGGGGATGGTTGAAGTATTCTGGATTGAGGTCTGTTTGGATTATTTTGTGAATCAGTAAATATTACAGATTAAGTATTCATATTAAATGTATTACGGCAATGAATTCAACTTCTGAGACACTGGTATTCTATTTATTCTCTGGATTCTGGTACCAAAAGCAGAAGAAAGTCCCATTTTGGTAAAATTTATGTTTTGGTGGTCAGCTAAATAAAGAGTAAGGAAGCCCAAAACTCTTCAGCCATTCCTTTCTCTTTTCCGCTAATTGAAATGAAAAGTAAACATTAAAGACCAACCACACAGCATAATATCCTTTCAACTTCTGTTAACAGGGGTATTAAAGAGACTTCCCCAATATCAGCTAGAAAACACCAAGTCATAAAACCCCTACTTAAAAGATGGAGAGGTGTAAATTCAGCACATAGGACTGTTTTCATCTAGGGAACCAGTTGATTAGAGGCCAGATGTCTTAATGAATTGGGAAGTTGCTGTCACGTCTCAGCTAGTTGAGATTGCCACTTCTCAGAGGATCAAATGTTCACATGGAAGGGTTTCGAAGAGCATGTGATCTTACAAGTGTGTGAACAAAGCATACCACTTGCACAAGACCCCACTCAGAACAATACTGGTGCTTGGGGATATACAGTTGGCGATTGCTTTAACTTTGCTTATAGACAAGTGCCAACAAAGTCAACACAGGTTGCCTGCTTCCCTGCCAACCTGAAAGACAAAGCATGCACAATCTACTGTATTCATTCATGTATTTGAGACTGGTGGTTACACAATAGCTGCCTTTTTTTCCTCAATATTCATATCAAACAGTCTCATGAAAGAATCCATACATCTTGAAGAATGATGGCAATGTTATGCTACTGTATTTTCCAGCTCTGGTGACTGTCAGTTTCAACATGCAGGCATTTTGCAGCTCAATAAAGATGGTAACCTTGCTTCACAGGTGGTTCAAACTCAACCTTCCCCAATTTGAAACCTTCCAGAAGTGCCAGACGTCAGCTCTTCAATCTTCCACAACTTTGTCTCAGCTGTCAAGATGATTATGAAGGATAAATCCGGACATTAGTAGCGAGACTGTAGATTGCATTCTCAAGAAAATTCATATTGTTTCTGTCTAATATGGTTAGCCCTCAGGTTGAAATGATTTAATTCTAAAGGAAGAGTGGAAATAAATGAGTTGTGATTAGTTTCACCATACTTGTACTGTTTTGCACTTTAATCTTTACTGATCAAATTTATCTGGTTATTTGTATTTAAGAGATCATTTCCATTTTGGCTGCTCTGGATCCATTCAGAATGTTGAAAATCATATTTGACTAAATAGATGAAAGGAAAATATAGTTTTATTACAGGGGAAAAAAATCAGTGCAATCTTTTCTGATGCATGTCTTCAATGGAATCCCCCCCTCCCAAAAAGTGAATTTGACACAAGAGTATCCCTCTTTAAGATTTAAGTTATTCAGTAGAGATGTATGAAATGCATAAAACAAATCTTCATTTGTTTTCATTTCAAAAGTATCCACTTTTTTTTCTGTTACTAAGAAAAGCATCTGCTTCTTCTCTGTAGCATTTTAAAGAAAAGGCTGCTCATTAGTAGCATTTTACTATTGATATTTGTTTATTTTAGCAACCTACTTATGCATTTGGAATTAGGACGTAGGAACTCATTATCAACAGTGAATGAAGACTGAATGTCTGCCTTCAGATTGCTGAATAAATTAATGGAGTGAAAAATAAAGCTGCCATTCAGGCAGAAAATGCCTTTATCATTTTTCAAAGTGTCACTGAGCAGACCTATAATATTAGCTCCATAACTCAAATAACCTTCAGTGTTATGGGATTACTATGACAAAAACAATCTCACCCAGATTTGTATAAGGTGGAGGAAAAAGTAGAGGTCATAGATATAAATTTGTGCTTTTAAATTTGCTAAAGTAATGCAGTATGTACAACTTACCCATTTCGGCTTTCATTTTCTGACCAGGCCAGAAAAGCAAACAGATCCATGAATCTATTTACAGTATATGAGCAATTTATAGTGTCCTCCATTTGTCATTCTGCTAATATATCACTAATGTGGATGGACATTACTGTACACTGCCACCATAAATGTGTGATAATGCTGTACATTGCTTCAGTAGTAGGGTTTTACAGTATATCTTATTTCTTCTTTAACAGCATAGAGAAAATTTAATTTTCATTTCTGTAATATTAGTACTTCTGCAGCAAGTCATACAAGCAGCAACAACTTACCTCACAACTGTACGCTTGTCAATATTAGATCATTTCAAACACGTGCTTTCAAATAGGCCTTAACAAATCTAATCAGTAAATTAAAATCCATTAATAATATATATTTACAAGTTCCAATATAGGAAGCCGCTTTCTACCACCCAAGCGCTCTAACCGGTAATTGTCCTTTAATTCGTCAGACATAAATCTGTCAAACAATCACAAATATGAACTGGAGGAATTAGTTGGTAATCTTTCTAAAAGCAAAAACGTGGAGCTCCAAATATATTTCAAAACTATTTTTAGTAATATCCATTATAAATTATGCATTTAGTTTCATTAGATACCAGACTTTGAAATGACATGATTTTAAAAAGAGCCCATTTCTACTTTTTCTCCCATTTATTGGTGCCCATAAATGGCTGCTTAGAAGAACTAGCTTGTGTCCTCAACTGTCCATGCAGCAAAAGAACAATACAGTACTTACAGCAGGAAGAACCATTTCTCTTGCAACCTCTGCATGGCCACCTTAATATCCACCGGAGAAATCAGATTTGTGAGAAGCTCAGAAAGTGCAAACATGAAAACAGAAAAGGGATTACCTGTGGATGCGATGTCGGAGGCAGCTCATTGCTTAGTTATTTATGACACTATTTAGTAAAGAGACTTGTATAGCATGGAATCCCTTTGGATATGGTAAATAACCAGCTCTATTCACAAACTGTCTAAAAAGAGACTTCTACTAAGCCACTGTTTGTGATAAGCAACAGGAAAAAGGAATGGTAAATTGATTTTATTCTTATTAGCACTGAATAAAGAGATGCTTAAGATGCACAGGGGCTTTATGGTCATTCGAGGAGGAGGAGAATACAGCCTGACAGCAGGTGGGACAGGATTTCATCCGAACTGGTGATCCTCTAGGCCAGTGATGGCTAACCTTTTTGCCATCGCGTGCCAAAAGCGGGGGGAGTACGGGGGGGGTCGTGCACGTGCGTGCCCATACCTATAATTCTATGCATCCTGTCCCCCGTGCATGAGCGTGCAACCCCCCCACGCTCCCCCCCCCACTTTTGGCATGTGATGGCCCGGTGGGCCCAGTAGGCCCGTTTTACCCTCTCTCCAGGCTCAAGCCTTTCTAGGAGCCTGGGGAGGGCGAAAATGGCCTCCCCCCCAGAGGCCCTCTGGAGGCCAGAAACAGCATGTTTCCTGACTTCTGGTGGGGCCAGAAGGCCCAAAAATCAGCAGAGCTGACCTTGCATGCCCACCAATATGGCTCTGTGTGCACCTGTGGCACGCATGCCATAGGTTCGCTACCACGGTTTTAGGCTGTGGCCTCTAGTCTGTGCCCAATAGTCCAGTCCTAGCACCACTACTAAGTAGGACAAAACAACTCAACTATTAAAGGTAAAGGTAAAGGTTCCCCTCGCACATATGTGCTAGTCGTTCCCGACTCTAGGGGGCGGTAGACATGTGGCCAGCATGGCTAAACGCCAAAGGTGCATGGAGCGCTGTTACCTTCCCACCAAAGGTGGTCCCTATTTTTCTACTTGCATTTTTTACGTGCTTTCGAACTGCTAGGTTGGCAGAAGCTGGGACAAGTAACAGGAGCTCACCCCGTTACGTGGCACTAGGGATTTGAACTGCTGACCTTTCGATCGACAAGCTCAGCATCTTAGCCACCGCATCCCAACTCAATTATTAACAGCCATTAATTGGGGTCTCGAGTTTAAGAAACTACTCTACTTACCCTTCCCACTGCATTTCTCCTTGCCTATCAGAACTCTCTGAATATGTTTTTCTGGATTCCTTTCATGCTCTAAGGAGAGATTACCAAAACATTTGAAAACTAAGACCATTGAATACAGACTAGGAGAGAAACATACTGAGATAATAAGAGGCACAGAAAAGGCAGAGGTGAGGATTTTGACCTTCACATCAAGATTGGTACAATTCTCCATCTCACCTATCATACTCCTGGTGCTTAAAATTTGATGTCACATCCTTTGGGAGGGGTAAATTCTCCTCACAAATTTTAGTGCCACTTTTGGAAACAGCTTTATGGAGCATCACTTCCTGCTTAAGCCCATTTATATATGAGACTAAATTAAATAACATTTCCTTCACCATATTGTTGAAAATATCGTTTGGAGACTAACTAGACAACTATAATGGGAAATTATTAGTCTTTTCACAAAATTGCACTTCATATTGTTCCTTGGGGAAACGAGGATATTGAAACTCATTTTAAGCCATTCTTCAGCTACAATACAGAAATACCCTTATTCCTCTTTCAATACAGTGCTGTGTCATTTTTCATGATCACAATAAAAGAAGCAAAGGGAAGAATGAGAAAAAAAATACAAGAACTGTTAAGGATATTGTTGTTGTGTTACTAACCAGCAGAGTAAATGCACAAGGAAACGTTGCTGAGAACGATGAATAAGAGATATGCAAACTGGTTTATCAAAAGTTTACTTTATAATGAAAAAACAATCTCATAGTCTTTAAATCAATCCAAGTCTTTGCCAGTTAAATCAGTCCAGTGATACAAAAACTTCTTACCACACAAACAGTAGTTGGTTAGAATAACAAACTCACTCTGGTTCACAAATCACAATGGTAGCACAATGGATAGCAACTCCACACACTATGGTAGCTTATCATCAAACTGAATACGTTACATTACATTACTTAAATACGTTCACAACCAGTGATTATATAATTACAGCATGACTCAGCATTATAATGAATCAGCAGTAAAACTTTAAAGTCACAAAATACATATTCAGCTTAAAGTTACAGTACACATATATTGCCTGGACAACTTGTTAGGCTCAAACCATATTCTAACAAGAGCCATGAATATGCCCTAGAAATTAAATACTGAGTTTTGCTCAACGCAATGTGGATTAAAATCCTTCCTCACTGTAAAAAGAAATGTATGAAAACAAGTACATAAAAGTCTAGGGAATTAAAATAATACATCATCCTATAATATCTACAATAACTAAGAAATTGTTCTTGAGGGCAAACTACATATTAAGTTGAACACATACTTTTTAATGCTGTTTAAACAGGTATTTAGTTTGAATAAAAAATTATCAGCCTGAAGCATACTCTTGATCCCAAACCTATTCCTATTAGAAATCATCCTTGACTTCTATTGATACCAATTATGCTGGTAATAAGTCTTTCATATCCTTTAAACAGGTAGTTAAAATATTTTTGTTCCCATCAGATTTTAGTACAACAAAATGCTTCATTTTTATAGCTATGGCTGCTTTATTTTCTTTTGACATTCAATGTTGTGTTCCATTGTATTCCTATTACATTGTTATATATGGCTTTGAGACCTTTTTATGGAAATAAAATAAAATATTGAACTAAAGGGCTGTGATAGTTCCATATCAAATATTTCTATTTCATGATGGTTATTTCAACATTAATGTCGATTAAAAGTAAAGGGAATACTATCAACAGAATGCTACACACAGTCTGAAGATAAAGGCAATGGGGAGGGAAGGAGAGAGAGGGAAAGGGAAAGGGAGAGGGAGAGAGAAAGAGTTGTGCAGTGTTGGATATCACACCTTACACTCCAGAAACACTTCCTTCATATACAAATTAAATGGATAAACTCTAATCAGAGATGCCCATGGAAAATATCAGAGCAGCAAGAGACATCAGAAACAACGTCCCTAACTACAATTATAAGGCTTTTGGAATAATTTATTTTAAAAGTATGGGGTGCAAAGTGAATCTTGCAAACTCATTCAATTTTATTGATCAAATTTGAAATTTTCCATCTCCCACATAGAGGGACTCTGGGTAGTGTGCAAGAAAAATATTTTTAAAAAGTGTATAAAATGTAAGAGTCAAGGTTGAAAAAAAACCTTTTTTTTTAATTGGCCAAGTGTTATTGGACACACATGGAATTTGTTTTGGTGCATATGCTCTCAGTGTACATAAAATAAAAGATACGTTCATCAAGAATCATAAGGTACAACACTTAATGATAGTTATTAAGTGTTGTACCTTATGATTCTTGATGAACATCTTTTATTTTATGTATACTGAGAGCATATGCACCAAGACAAATTCCTTGTGTGTCCAAACACACTTGGCAAATAAAAAAAAAATCTATTCTATTAAAAGGTAATTAAAAGGTGGGGGGAAGCTTTTGGGGTGCTAACCAACCCCATAGCTGGGTTGTTCTGGGAATCCCAAGCAAGGCAGCAGTCATTTTTCAAATCTTTCTAGGCCAGGAAGTGGTTGCCTGCCTCACTTCTGGGAGTGAGTGGATATTCCATAGGACAATTGCAATGGCAGAAAAGGCTCTCTTTATGGACCTACTAATTGAAATTCTTTAACGATGGGGTCTGCAACATACCTTCCCTGGCAGAGTGGGTGGGACAGGATGATATGATGGGGAGAAAAATGGTTGTGTAAGTAACCTGGTCCTACGGCATGTACGATTTTAAAAGTCATAACCAACATCTTGAATTGGACACAGAAGCAAACTGGCATCACTGCAGCAATGTATAGCAAAATGTGCATATTCAAGGAAACATATAATATTGTAACAGCATATTCAATGTAAAATAGTTATCAGAGTTTATAAGGCTGATCAAATTCATCAATGCACTTTTTTCTGCCAATTCAAGGCTGGGCAACTCAGCAGTGGGAAGGAGTTTTAGGACAGAATTCTGTAGGTTCCCTAAGACCTTGAGTGAGTTTAGAACAAAGGGATGATTGAAATCAAAACTGGTCTCAACTGGTCTTTTAGCTCAGCAGTTTTAGCTCAACTCAGTTTTGGTCACCACAATGTTAAAAAGATGTTGAGACTCTAGAAAGAGTGCAGAGAAGAACAACAAAGATGATTAGGGGACTGGAGGCTAAAACATATAAAGAACGGTTGCTGGAATTGGATATGTCTAGAAAGAAGGATTAGGAGTGACATGATAGCAATGTTCATAAATCTCAAGGGATGTCACAAAGAGGAGGGGGCCAACCTATTCTCCAAAGCACAAGAAGCAATGGAAACTAATCAAGGAGAGAAGCAACCTAGAACTAAGATGAAATTTCCTGACAGTTAGAATAATTAACCAAAGGAACAACTTGCCTCCAAAAGTTGTGAATGCTCCAACACTGGAAGTTTTTAAGAAGAGAAAGGACAACCAGTTGTCTGAAATGGAATAAGGTTTCCTGCCTAAGGGGTTGACTAGCACAGGGGTCTCCAACCTTGGCAACTTTAAGCCTGGAGGACTTCAACCCCGAATTACGGGAATTCTGGGAGTTGAAGATTCCCCTCGCACATAAGTGCTAATTGTTCCTGACTCTAGGGGGCGGTGCTCATCTCCGTTTCAAAGCTAAAGAGCCAGTGCTATCCGAAGATGTCTCCGTGGTCATGTGGCCAGCATGACTAAATGCCAAAGGTGCACAGAACGCTGTTACCTTCTCACCAAAAGTGGTTCCTATTTTTCTACTGTTATGGGCACTAGGAATTCGAACCACTGAACTGCCTCGATCGACAAGCTCAGCATCTTAGCCATTGAGCCACCATGTCCCTTAGTTATAGTTATATCCAAAAGTGTACCTTTTGAAGAAATGGCATCTGTCAAAAGAAAAGATTCTTCTTCCTCCTGCCTTCCACCAAGCTCTTTCAAGTGTTAGGAATGCTCCAGAGCAGATCTGGGGCACATCTGGCAGAGGGCCACATGGAAGAGAACAGGGAAACTCCCATGAAATCAGCACAATCATGTTCCTGTGATGTTGGATATGGCCAATAATATACAGCACAATTTCCTAATGGTATTATTAAGGGGTTGACGAGACTGGAGACAAAACGCAAAACTTCCCTGTAAAACAGTATGTGTTTACAGCGTCCTGTAGTGGTGAAGCTGTTGATCAGGAGCAAAAGGACCCAATCCACCACAAAAAAACCACTTGGAGATTTGGTCCAATTTACACTGCAGGATGCTTTTGTGAGGAAAAATAACCGGAGGGAACCCTACGTATGCAAACTTGACCTCCTGGAAAAAAAGCCAAGATGAGCCATCAGTATGATATATACATTTTAATACTGTATCATTTAATAATTATATCAAATACCTTTGATATCAACTAAAAAGTGATCGTTAGAACACAAGCAGAATAAATAATATCCAGAAGCTCCTTTTTTGCCTGCTTCATTCAACCTTTGATTCTGTCACATTTTTTTTAAAAAAGAAGGAAAGCCGGCATTCAGAAAAGGTGCAGAACTCAAGACGACCGGCTTTCTGGTGTGCTAAGAAAGCGAAGATGTCTCCGGAGGGACGGGGTTGCCCGGCTAAGAAAGGAAAGAGAAGCTCCCCTCCTGACTTTTAATTCCTCACGGGATGTTTATGTGATAAGATTTCCCCGCCAAATCCCCGGGGGATCGGTTAACATATCAAGCAGCCTAGCCCGACGGCCTTGCCAGGCGCTGCTCCTGCTCTATGCCCGGGCCGGGCCCCCCTTCTCCTCTTTCTCGCCTGCGACTCAGCCGAAATGGCTCTTTAGCCGAAGGGCGCTAATTATCCTAGCGAAGCGGAGAAGACGCCGGGAGTTCATTTGGGCCTCCCCGAGCTTCATTTGAATGCCCGCCACTCCCTTGGCACCCGGGTGGCCCCTTTGGTCACCAAGCCCACCCCACCCCTCCCACTCCCATAAAAGCCTCTCCCGAGGCCCGGGACCCCCCGACGTGGCTCGCATGTCGCCGCGGCCCCTCGCCCGCTTAAGCCTCTCGTCTCAGGAAGGGCCAACGGAGAGCATGGACGCCGAGCCCCCGCCTTTCTTCTCCTCCTCCTCTTCCTGGGACTGGAAGGTCAGCGGCGGCGGCAGCGGCAGCGGCGGCTCTCTGGAGCTGGGCCAGAGCTCGCCCGCGCAAAGTCTGTCTCCTTCCCCGTCTTTCGACTCGTACGCCTCTTCGCCTTATCCCCTGCTGGTGGACGTGCCGTGTGGCCCCGGCGACGGGAACGAGGCGGGGAGCAGCCTGAGAGGGTACCCGCTCGGAGAGTTTCCCTCCGTTTATCTTTCGCGGCCCGGGCAGGGCCAAGGTCACAAAGGGCCCAAAGGGCGGATGTCGGTGCAGCGCAGGCGAAAGGCCAGCGAGAGGGAGAAGCTGCGGATGAGGACGCTGGCCGAAGCCCTGCACACGCTGCGCAATTACCTGCCGCCCATGTACACCCAGCGGGGCCAGCCGCTCACCAAGATACAGACGCTGAAATACACCATCAAGTACATCGGCGAGCTCACGGATTTGCTGAACACCGTCAAGCAAGGACAAATGCCTTGAAGGCTTCGGGGGAGCTATGCCCTCTCTGGAAGGCAGTCGTCTATCCGATCCTTCCCCCATGCACACACTTCCACTTGACAGCCTTCTGGTCGTCTTTTTTAAAAGTGACATTTTCACCAACCCCTTCCCCCAGTGGGAGGACACAGCCATGCGGCTTTGTTGGGAACAGTACTGAAGCACCAGTTGTTTTCTTTTGGGATATGTCTTTTTCACTAACTTTTTGATCTGCCGTCCTGGGATTTCCTGGTGGTCTCCCATCCAAGTGTTGATCCTACTTAGCTTCCAAGATGGGTCCATTTGCCCGGAGTTTGACAATTATGGACTTGTTCAAAAGATAATTTGGGTCAATCCGTTATTCTAAGGGGTAGCTCATGACAAGAGTTTGTGGTATTTTGGGATGCCGCACAGATGTTGGACAGACATTGAATCAAACATAGGTGTTGATGGAACTTTCTTTTTTTCTTTTTAAAATGCAATTGATGTTAGGGTGCCAAATTTCATCTAACTGGGTATGTCTTGAAGTGGCAATCAGTGGATTTCTTAAAAGAAAAATACTTCTCATATCCCTATGTATTTTTTAGTTATGTCTGTTGGTTGGGAGGCACTTTATATCAGCAAGAATATTTTTATGCTTATCATACATTATGGTACATTTCAAGTTTCAATGGGAAAAATCCTAAAATGTATAAAAAATTGGTTCTGATTGGAGTTACTTGTGTTACAAGCCTTGTGTAATTGAGTTTACGTAGATGTAAATTGCATTTTTGATCAAATAATAATCACTGTGCTTTTTAGTATGGGACATCATCAGTCTGGCCCAAAACGGTTTGTCTTCATAACATGGAGGTTAGTTTTAATGTATATGCATTTACTGATTTTGTAAATATAAAACTATTTTTAAATTGATAATAGGGGTTTGCTGAATCTCTCAATCATCAGAGCCAGGGGAAAGTAAGTTGTGGGTGGGCTGATGTTTTTTTTATTTTTGCTTGTAAATATCGATAGTCCATATAAGGGACATGCTTTCAGTGTCCTAAATTAAATATAGTTCAGCTAGGATTAATCCCAATGAAAGCAATGAACTTAATCATGACTGGGGAAAAAATTCATTGACTGCAGTGGAAATTATCCTCAATTATTTATTTTTTTCCTACCAAGTGATATACACATTCCTCTATAAACCTAAGTGTTTGCACAGCTGGTTACGACACCCCAGATGTTTTTACCATGATAGAAGTAGATTGTATAAATTCATTTGAAATGCTTCTGTAGGGGAAACTGTGAAATCCAAATCAATATGTATGTTTTCAGCTCATATGCAGACAAATTGTGGCTCCTTATGCGAGGATATATATGCGATGCAGAGTTGAACCTTATGGGCACTGACACCTTGATTGCACACCTTTCTTAGATGAAAATGCCTTTGAACAGGAGCATTATCAAATCCGAAGCAGCCCTATCCTGGTAATTTGATTGCTGCTTTATTAGTTGTAAGTCATACATTCAGCATATTTTCTTTATGCTTGAGGATATGTTAGACTGCACATTAATGTGTTAAATGCCAAACAACAGTTCTCATGCTCGAGTTTAATCTGCCCATTGCTAGTGAGCAGGGCTCCCTTGATAGACTGTATCTGTCCAGCTGATCTGGCAGCAGCACATTGCCTAGGGAGTTCATCACACACATCTCACTTTGAAAGATAACAAACTTTCAGCATGATAACGAATAAGCTATTTTCCCTCAGAGCCATCCAGAGTAGGCTGGGCTGAGATATCAGGAGATGCTGAGATCTGTGGTGCTGCATTTAAAGTATAGTGTATCTAACTCTGGTCTTTTGGTTCCCCTCTGAATGTGATTGTTATTTTTCCAGAGAACATGCTGGCAAGTTTTCTACAGTATTACAAATGAAGAAAGTAGATTTACATACTCACAAATAATGTTTTATTCATGTATATTTCAAAAGTATCTCAGGGCTTTGGGGACGAGCATAATCAGCTGGAGAGAATAAAAGAAAGAACAGAAAGATTTTGTCTTCTTAAATAAAACATCATATAATCTCTTAGTCTTGATAAATGATTTCAAGTGATAGCAAAGCTCTGCAATGGCCTAAAACCTGTCATTACAATGCAGAAATTCTCCTTAGCTTAACAGCCAGCTTTCATTTCCAAAATTGTGCCCTTAGCAAAAGCTATTTTCTTTTTGGAAAAGCTGTGTGTTGTTCCATCACATGGAAGGAGAGTGCATTTCCCTGCTTCAGAAGTGGAGTGACGGTCTTAATTCAACATAACATTCAGGAAATCAATGTCAGAGGCTACATATTGTACATCGCAAGGTAAAAAGAAAAGAGAAAATGTACATTATCAATTTTGATTGAAAATAGATTGCACATGACCTTCCCTTCCCTCCTTCCACCCTCTCATAGCAACCAAAACAGAGGAGAAAGAAGAACTGGTGTGCTGCTGCAATGCAGATGGAAAGTGAAAAATAAAAGAAAGCAAGTTCACCTTTTCCTTTCCCTGGAACAGAACAAACAGTAGTCCCACATTATACAGTCCATGACGTGAAATGAAAAAAGAATGATTAGAAATAATGGTACAGAGGGATAGGTTTTCCAGAGTGTCTGATTTGCACTACTAGCACATCCAATTGAATGATCAACAGTTTGGGTTATTTATTTCACTTACTTTTTACTTTTTCATAAACAGATGTAATGGACATATTTTTGTATTTTTTCCTTTCATATGTTAATTACAAACATTTTGACTTAAAAAGAATACGTTTAAAGAAAGGGGGCTAGCCCCACTCCTTCCCACTCTGACTTTTCCATTCTGTATGGGATTTTTCCTCAGAATATTAATGACTGGGGTTACTATGATGAACCAAAAAAGAAATTTGAAGGATGGTTTTCTAAAACACACACACAATTTTTGACTATAACTAAGGAATTGCACCTGCCAGTGAAACTTCTCTCAATATAATTCAAATCTGCTTGAGTGGGATGTTGCCAGTCATGCAGAGGAGTGAAGGGCTAAGCACGGGAAGCTGTGGGACATGCGTGCACGTGTGCATGCACGCACACACACACTAAGGACTTAGAGTGCAGAGAAGAGCAACAAAGATGAAAGAGGGTCTTGAGGCTAAATCATAGAATGAATGGTTAAGGGAACTAGGAATGTTTAGACTAATGAAGAGAAGGCTCAAGGGAGACATGGCAACAGTCTTCTGATACTTGAAGGAATGTCACAGGGAAGAGGGAGTTGCTTTATTCACCATCCTGATGGGTGGAAACTCATCAGAGGGAGATTTAACCTGGAAATAAGGAGGAATTTCCTGACAGCAAGAATGATTAGTCAATGGAAATTGCTTGCCTCAAGTTGTGGGAGCTCCATCACTGGAGGTTTACAAGAAAAGATTGGACAACCATTTGTCCGGGATGGTCTACTCTAAGGAGTCCTACTTTGGGTAGGGGGTTGGACTAGAAGACCTCTAAAGCCTCTTCCAGTCCACAATTCTAAGTATTTGGAATAATGTTGGAACAATGTTGGGCAGCATTTTAGTAAAGGTTGCAGGAAGGGGAAAAAAGATGATATTGATTTGTACTTTGTATTCTAGCTTGTACTTTATTAAAAAAAAAGTGATTATGTGGAGAATACAATCATAAAACAATGCAAATATCAAGAATTAAAGCAATGCACACATTTAAACTACAGTACTTTAAAACATATCAAATTACAAATACTAATGATAATAATAAACAGGACAGGTTAATAATGACCAAACCAGACTGTGGCATGTTGAGTATGAGTTCAGCCAATGAAAGAAAACAAATGGAAGAATCTCAAAACAGCCCAAAGAGGATGGGGAGAGGGCTGTGGATGGGCAGCCTATAGAAACTCTCTTTTGGGTGGAAGGGAACTGGGGGGAGGCATGGAAGGAGAAAAGAATTGAATGTCCAGAATGAGGAGGAGAAGGAAGGGATGGAGCAGGAGGAGAAAGAGGAAGAGGAGGAGCAGAGGAGGAGGAGGAAGAGAAAAGGAAGAGAAAGAGGAGGAAGAGAAGGGGAAAGGATGAAAAGAGAGGAGGAGGAAAAAGAATCCATGCTGCAAATTCATTAAAGGTTCCGCTTGTTAAAACAAAACTAACTTTGAGACTGACATGGCATTACAGTGGCTGTACAGCTACAAAAAGGCTATTAAAAGTCAGCAGGTGGATAGTAAAATTTTAGAAAACACCTAAAATCTGCAAAATTGGGAGGAGGGAGGGAATTAAGAGGGAATGAAAAAAACCCTCCAAGATAACTTGCTTGATTTAATAAACATTTCAAAGAGGATGGAGCATGCTCTGTGTTGGTGGGTGGGTGGGGAGGAGTGGCAATTGCCAAAACATCAGGTGTGGTCCCCCTGCTTAGCCCTTCACCCCTCTACATGAACCACAACATGCACATCCAAGGCAGATTTGGGTTCTATGAAGAGGAGTTCCACTAGTGCAGGTGTCAGCAACCTGCGGCTCTTTGGGCCCTCTGCTGTGGCTCCCTGTCGGGTGATCCCACCACTGGCTGGCCCCACCCCTCGCCCTCCCCTCCCAGTCACTCCTTGCCTGGCCTGAGAAAGTAAGGGCGATGGCAGGGGATGGAGAAGCAGCCAGGGCAGAGACAGAGAGATACAGAGAGAGTGGGGAGAGACATAGAAAGATAAAGAGAGGGGGGGGAGAGAGAGAGAGGGAGGAAGGGAGGGAGAGATGTCAAAAGGATTTTGTGGTTCCCGGTGTTTTTTAACAACTGGTTCTCTGCCCTAATGACCAGCTGGGTAGGCATGGCTAGGGGGGGGTCATGTGACTGGTGGAAGTGATATCAAGTTGGCCACGCCCACCCAGGTTTTGTGGCTCCCGGTGTTTTCTTTTTTGTGGGAAATGGATCCAAATGGCTCTTTGAGTGTTTAAGGTTGCAGACCCCTGCACTAGTGGATGCAATTCCTTAGTTATAGTCAAATTTTTTGTTGTGTGTGCCTTAGAAAAGCATCCTTTCAAGTTTATTTCTTGTCACATCATAATAACCTATACTTATTAATATCCTGAGGAAAAAAATCCCATATGGAATGGAAAAGCCAGAGTGGGAAAGAGTGATGTATCCCCGTTTTTTGGAAGGGTTGAATTAATCTGAACATGAGCCTGGCTGTCTATCTGAAAGGACCCCTCAAGGGGCAAGTTGTCTCTGACTTTTTCCCCCCTTTCTAAAAGCTTAAATAAGAAAAAGTCATCAGAGAGGCTTGCTGTCAGTTTGAACTCCATCTTTTCAATCCCTTCTTGGAGCTTTCCAGATATGTTGTTGGGCTGGCTGTGGAAGATGGGATGTATAGTCCAATAGATCAAGAAGGCCATAGGCTGGGCAAAGTGAAATGATCTGAATTTTTACCCATGTACTTGGCTATTTTAAGATGCATGGACTTCAATTCCCAGAATTCCCCAACCAGTATGCCTGGTTGAAGAATTCTGGGAGTTGAAGTCCATACATCTTCAAAGGGTCAAGTTTGGGAAACACTGTACTATACTATACTAAAAAGAACAACTGGCCCTTTAAAAACACTTTCAAAAGAAAAACAGAAATGGCACCTCTCCCCATTTCCCTCAATCGCAGAAAATGAAGCTGGGAAAGGAAGCCACGGGTGCCTTTGTCTGAAATTACTCAAGGTTCCCTCTGGAGGGAGCCCCATATCCCTCCCTATCAGAAAGTCAGTTTTAAAATGATGCTTTAGGGATCTGTCTATAAAGAAGAGGTAAGATATGGGATGAAGAGATAATTGTTTGTAAGCATGGAGGGGATGAAAAATCACTAAACTTGTTTATATTTGTGGTGAAAATTGGAAATAACTTCTTTATATAATTTCTTTTACTTTATTATTTCTTTTTTCTATTCTTTCCCTCTCATTTTTCACTCCTTTCTTTCTTTTCTTTCTTTCTTTCCTTTCTGTCTCTCTGTCTGTCTTTGTCTTTTTTAAGTTTAGTTTGTGTTATATTTTACTGTTACAATTAAATAGCTTTAATTGTATCTCCTTAAGTTATCTCCTTTACTTAATTTAATTTGGTATTTAGCTCAAAAAAAGTAATGTATTCCAGGCTCAACTTGTCATTTTGCTTCTGGAATGCATTTCTAATTTCCACCAGGACTGGACATTGTTTTCCAAGACTCCAGCAGACAGCACTATCCAAATAGCATCCTCATAAGAGATAGCAGCTAAGTGTTATATGATGGCAGTTAATAATTCCCCTGAGATTTTTTTACACTAAGTTACTGGGTAGTACATCTTTCTTTATGAACATAATCTAGGGGCATCAGTTTACGCTGCATTTAGAATAGGATTCCTATTTTTATTGGCAAGTATCAATACAAACAACACCTTGAACAATTATGGCAAAATACACCAGTGACTATACAGTTTAGTGAAAAAACCCTGTATATGTCGTAATGATTAAAATAAATAAAAAAACATAAGGAAAGAAACAGAAAATAATAAACGGAAAAGAAAGATAATCTAATATCTTTAATATAAAATTAATCCATAAATTTATCACTAATTCTAAACCATAAGGAAACATTACTTCATCTTTTCATTTGGACAATATAAAGACATTTTTTAAAAAAGGGGATAACAAACACCTATCTTGAATCCATTCTTTAATATTAGGAGGATACATTTCTGTCAATTATTCAAAATTATTTTTGTTGAGTCCCAAGCTCCATACAGTCAAACCTCTTCATACAATGACAGATTCCTTATTTTTAAAAATATAATCCAACGTAATTTAACCGTCTTTACTATTTACTAGATAAATCATGTCCTACTAGGTCATTGTTTCAGAGGTATTTCCACCCCAAATTTCTCAATGCTATGAGCAATGATTTTAATGTTCTGCCTGAAATTTGGGACGTATCTGCTCTGAAAATAGCCAATGTTGAATTATAGAGCACAAACATCAGCCCAGGAAATGTTTTGTGACATTTTGCATTATGTCTTAAATTGTTTTATGGAAATGTTTATATCATAATATGTTTTGAAAAAAATGCCA